TGGTATGTCGCAAACTCAGAACTCGAGTCCAGGATAGCCAATTTGTAAGTGGAATAGAAGTAGGTTTTACGTATTGACGGGGACGTTGGGACAGAGCACGCGACGACGGGACAGCAACGAAACATTGAAGTACTTACAGTAAAGCAATTCGGCGCATACGCGCAAGGGCAAAGTAGCTCTCCTATGTAAAGTATAATACATATAAGAGTGAGTCCTGATATAGAATGATTTTTCTCATAAATATTACTTATTAATACGTGTAAAATTATAATTGCACACCACCTTACCCTCTACATAAAGTTCTCATTGGCTTTCTCCAGCCTTATTAACCTTATTACATTAATAACAGCAAGGCTCCTTCCTAAAAGGGTAGTCGCATGTGAGCGATAGAATCCCTGCAATCAAATACTACGGCAAATAAAAAAAAAACCTCACAAGGTTATCGCTATAGACCTAGTTTACTACATAATTCGCGACAACACCCCCCCAAAGGTCAAGACCTGCAATAGCCCTTGGATCAGAGTTGGGTGTTTCAGATCCAAGAATGACATCAATTCGGGGTTACAAGCGCGAGTCGCTAGCATTGGAACCCCCCCGCCAAGCCCAGAGGTCCTAACTTTGTTCGACCAAAGCGTCGGCTTGGCGCGATGTTGATAATCATGACCCTGGTTGTTTCAGACGGGCCAATACCAAGACTTTTGTACCGTTAGTTGGCAATGTAGGGTACGTACCCGGTACTGAGAGATATAGTATGTATCTCCATGGTAGCGGTTATTTTGCTAGGCTGGGTGGTGGCCCATTTGACCCCTGGCTGGCAACGTGGAACTCGGGGTTGCAAGGATCGTCAAAGTCAAATTGCGATGAGCTATCTGGGAAGCAGAGATCCTTGCGCCGTGTTGCAAGTTACTACATTCAGTACATAGGTGTTGGTCCAGATGGTCATGGTGTCAGATGATGATGGCTAGTACTGTTCAACAGACGGCGTTTCGTGGGGAGCTTGTTTTCTAGTCTTCTAGTGTTGAATTAATCACATGGAGCAAAGCAGAAGCAGACCGACAAGTAGGCCATTGGTGCGCATGTGCATGGTGCAACCTCAGCAAGTCGTTTGGTGGTCGGTTCAAGGACCAGCTTTGCTCGCGCGGCTATTGCCGAATGAAACGGTGCGTGTAGGAAGAATCAAGGTCGATTGGTCTGGGGCGTAACGTGAATGTGTCAATGTGTCAATGTGTCATTATGTATGTATGTATGCTCGCCGGTGACGAGACGGGCCCCTCGAGGCACGGCCACGATGTCGAACTGGAAGAAAACAGTCGATACTTCTTACGATTAGTATAGAATTAGGCGCCAACATGGAATTTACTCAAGCAGGTTGGTATGGTATGGACAATGCATTGTCCAATTTGAGAATAGTAGTACTTACCTAGGTAGGTAAGTACTTAGGTAGGTACTTTATGTTACTAAAGTAAGTACGGGTGGGGATCTCGATGTGGCCTCTGCGCCTTGGGAGCCCCCAGTCCCTAGTCCGCAGTCCGCAGTCCCCAGGATCCAGGATCCGGGATCGTAGATGCTCAGCCAGGCCTTGACGGAGTAAAACCACAGCCTCGGAATCACGCTCGGTGAGTGCAATCGGAGGAAACGAAAACTGCAATGTGTTTTTTCTTTTTCTTGATGTAACATGTAACAACACCGTAGCAGATTGATCGTGTGAGAAGGGCAAGTCAAACGCTGGCTCTCCATCTGACACGATAAAACGGCCCGTGTACATGACCTGTGCTGGCATGGTATTTATCGACTCTGTTGTTGTTGTTGTTGTTGTTGTTGTCAAGTTGTTGTTGTTGTAGCGGAGCCAGGCGAACATTGAACATTGATGCGGCGATCATCAAGGGCTGGGGACATGGACGACGACCAGACAGCACTGTTGACAGTGTGACACTGACCTTCTGCTCTGTGAGTGGCGGACGCTGATTGGCGGATGCGACAAAGGGAGCAGTTGAGCACCTGAGATGTTTCTGCCCTCTGCAGGCACTGAGTGGTCGGGTTCTTCGGCGGGCGCTTACTACGTATTTCCACCGGCTGGATCAATGAGCTTGGCAGGCTGTCAGATGCACGTACGGAGTACGGAGTACAGCGCGTGTCCTCCTGCCTTGAGTGGGTGCAGCAGCATCGTGGAGAATAACGGCATTGGGGTACTAGTCCGTATGTATAGTTTACAAATAGAATCGTATAAATGGCAGCGGCTGACGCCGCCATGTTGCTAAATGCGGTACCCTTCAAGATCCCATCGCGGTATGTCGGGAACGGAGATGCGGGACCAAAGTGTTTGGTTGGAAGCCGTTGACGCCGAGCATCATTTGAAATTTCTCTGGGCCGCGTCCTGCCCCTGGAGCCACACCCAAGCCTGACATATCTATGTATGGAGTATATCGAGTATGTATGAAGCATTCGTCAACGCTCGAGCCTTCGGGCCATTCAGCAAGGACAGCACCCCTGGTGATGCTGAACAACCGGTTGCCGAAAAAAATTTGCCAAGCCGTGCTGAGGAGTCATGGGCCAAACTCAATTAGATGCCGTTTTGTTCCGCGCAGCAATATTCTGCCCTGGAAACCGCCTGGTACAATATATTAGACTTAAATCTCGGCGCTGTGCGGGCCTGGTCAAATCCGATGTACATCAAACCGATCTCACCGTGCAGCACATGTATGGCAGTTGATACAGGAGAGCAGTCTGCTGGGACATGGAGGAGCACATGACCGACAAACTCTTCCTCTCGTGCTTGACGCAGGATACAATACATGAATCAATACGGAGCACGGAGTACCGTGTTTTCACTCCTCCGTGGTGCCACCCAACAGCGCAAATGACATGTACACCTTTCCGCCCATCACCATTCGCGGGGCGGAGATTTAAATCCTGTTGTACCCAAATTTGGCTCACCGACAGTGATTGGCCAGTCCTTGCCGCCGGGCTTGCTGCGTGTGCCTATATTTAGATTAATTAACTGCAAGGCTTGTCTCGCACGCCTTCCCATCCTCCCCACTCACGATGGAGCGGAGCCCAATCCAACACCCTGTGGCATGCTCAGCAGCACTCTGCACGCTTGCAGAGTCGTAGCAGGGGTTCATGTGGTTGCTTTCGAAGCATTCTTGCCGACTGAGCCATCCGTCTCACGATGCTGACTGGGTGACTGGGTCGAGCATGGCTTGGTGGCTTCGCTTTCTACCCACTCTTCTACCCTTTCCCCAGCCACGGGTCCCGAGTGCCTTGGGATCATGGTCCTGGCCTGGGCTTTGGTTTTTGGCCTTTTGATGGCCCCGAAGGAGGAAGGATTCGGTACCTGTGAGGGAATGTGTGTGTCAATGGGTGAACGGTAGATGGTTGATGTCTGGAGGACCGCTGGACCACCTCGAGACAGAGGCGATACAAGCATTTCATCTTCTCCGGACCCCTACCCTGGTCCTGGCCATCCAGTTGGACCGTTGTTTGTCGCCTCTCCGTTGCCCCAGGCGCGCTAGGTGAGCGACCCCTGGCCTTATTCGCGCCCGTAGTGCCATTATTATTATTGTATTTGGCCGTTTGCGAACTTGCCGTGTGTCCTGGCTTGCTGTGTGACGAGCAGGTCGTATTGTAGCGAGTACGAGGAATATGGACAAGTAGAACGATGGAGCAACTACATATGATAAACAGGAGCAGTGGGAAAGAAAGGCGAAGCGGTAGCAGCGGTTACCGACCTGCCAGGCCTGCGCTTCCGCTCTGACTCTGCCGTCTCTGTTCGCTGGACCTCGAACTGACCGTGTTTCGCGAATCGTCCCCGTTGGCTCAGAACTGCAGCATCCCAGTACCGTGCAGGAGCTGGCTCAGGTGCTTGTCATGTGCAGCCGAAAGCGAGTGGCGAGCAGCGAGCAGCGAGTAGCGCGCAGACATGACGGAAGACTTGGGAACATGCATCCGTCAATAATCATCTTGATTCTTTTTTGGCACAGTCGCTCCTGCCTTGTCTGGTGCCCGGTTCCTCCTTCTCCACCACTCCCCTCCGCTCGCCTCTCAGCCGCCTGCGAACATTGAAGGTCAACTGGGTGCCACTCGCCCAGAGCCCACCTGCACCCCCAGCCTGGCTGGCCCCGGCCCCCGGTCGCTGTTGCCGTCGTCGTCTCCCACCAGATCTCGTTCCCAGTCGACCAATTCCTTAATTCTTCTCGTCTGCTTCACATTTCACAACTTCACCCTTCTGCTTTCCCCAGCAACGGCCAGCCGCCTTGGTCACCGTCGACTCGTCCCGACTCCCGAAGCCCTCGACGAAGCGGCAGACCATGGTTCACCTGTAAACGGCTTCCCGCGAAACCTGGTCCTGTAGCCCAGCCGCTAGCCACCTGCATTGCATGGTTCTCATCTAAGCGCTGGTCTGTCTCACTTCGAATCTGGGCCCCATTCCTTCATCTTCTCTCCCTTCCCGCCTTCTTTGGGCTCGACGACAGCGACAAGAGCAAGGGCATACTTTTTGTCCGCCTTGCCCGTTGCCCTTCACCATCGACTTCGATCAATTCCCATTCTTTATCAGCTACAGCCGTCGCGACGACTTTTCGGCTCCTCTCGCTCCTTGGCACTTTGTTGCGGGAGGACCCCACGAGCCAGGCCACGGTCCTCACTCGACCAGCCACGGCCATCCCAGCGAACGTCCATACATTGGATTCAGCAGCGCTGTCCACTGCCGACCGAAACTTGTTCGATTCGAATCGTTCGCGAATCCGCTCCTTCAGACCTCGAGCTCGTTTATTCTGTGCTTCGCCCGCATTCCTTCGACCGATCGCAATCCAACCCTTGTCTCCCGACACATCTTGCAACTGTTGCTACAATCAAAGGGATCTACTGGTCCAGGGAAAACGACAGCTGTGACGAGCCCGTATCTTATTCTCTTTCTCTCTCTAATTTTTTTTTTCTTTTTGCAAGTACTTGACGCCGCGCAGGAGGTTCAGCGACAGCATTCTGTTGGGAAGGCCAAAACCATGCCTTCCGCCGCGGCCCGACGCTTGTACGAAGATCAAATACCATCCTTCATGTCAGTATTTGATCTTGACGCCGACACGATAGCGGAAGGGGAGACTGTCACGCTGGTTGATACCAAAATGGTCGACATGCCACCCAAGCAATCGGCCTTTGCCGACCCATCACAACCACCTGCCCTTGGGCAAGGAGGATTCCCCCCGGATCCGACACACAGGCATCACGACAGCACGTCTACCCAAATGTCAGAATCAACCGAGTCTTCTCCTACAACAACATTATCTACCACCGACTCTTCCCCATTGTCGGATCCTTCACCATCCTCGTCACCAGATTCGCCTATCAACTTGATACCCTTAAATGATTATCCGTCCACAACGTTCGGTTGTCGCCCAGCCACGTCACAAAACAACATGCTTTGTATTCCCGAATCCCATGCTTTGGACCGACCTATGACATCCCCGGCTCCTCGGAGGCCGAGGAATATGAAGGGTTTATCTATCCAACCCCCATTAACTGTTTCCACTACCTCCAAGTGTATTGCCACAGAGCCGTCCTCACCTTCATTCATCAAGCCAAAGATCCCCGGCATGAAGCGAAAACCCAGTCAGCTTAGCTTGAAGACGGGTGCTTCAGACTTGGTCAAGAAGACATCGCTGGAGGTGCCGGCATCTCCGGCAATGCCGCCAATTTTGCAGCGCCGCGCATTGAAGCATTCTACTTCGTCACCTCATATATTCGCCGCCATGAAGTCTTCTACGTTCGGCCCTCTTGGGGGAATGACTTTTCCCAAAGTCCTCGAACGAAATGAGTCTGGTCTATCAGAAGTGTTGCGACCTATGAAGCAAAAGTCTGTCATGGACCTGGACGAGTCTATAGTAGAGGAAGACTCTCCAATTAAAACTCAGTTGGCAAATCGCAGCGAGTACGAACCATTCCACGAGACGGCGAATAATGAAGATCAAAAGTCGCCCGGATATCCCAATGGACCCATAGCTATATATGGCGACAACATTTTTTTGTATCTTGAGCCTACTGCTGAAGAAGCCTCCCGGTTTGATGTAGTGATCAATGTGGCTAGGGAGGTTCAAAATCCGTTTCTAGCTGCTGAACGGATGTTTGAGAATGCGTCAACCACGGGGAATGAGAGTCCTATCCCGGACACGGCGGCAACAATTGCCAGCTTCGCGACAGCTTTTGAATATCAACCGATAGAAGACTCGACAATTGATACTCCAACAACTCCGAAGGCAAACCCTTGGCATGTCCCAGAGTATATCCATATTCCTTGGGATCACAATACCAATATAGCGCCAGATCTAATGCATCTTTGCGAGACGATTGAAAACCGAAGCAAAAACGGCAAGAAGGTCTTAGTTCATTGCCAGCAAGGGGCCAGTCGTTCTGCAAGTTTGATCATCGCCTACGGCCTATATCAGTCCCCAGAGTTGAGTGTCAATGACGCATACTACGCCGCACAAGCCAAAAGTCGTTGGATTAGTCCGAATATGAAACTCATGTACTCACTGCAAGATTTCTACAAAGAACTTACTAAAAAGAGGTCACCATCATCCTCGACTCATAGGCCACGAACCGGACGAAGTCCGACTAAGCATCGACTGACGCTTTCCGCCGATGCCATTGATATCACTTCCAAGGAACCCCACACAGCTCCTCTACCAGGAGAAGAGACGCCTTCAGACGCAATAGATTCTGACTGCCCGACTCGACCCCGGGGCAGCTCGACACCTGGCTCACAGGCGATCTCTCCAGGTCCTGCATCGGCACCATTGAGCTACTCGTGGAAAGACCACTGCGAAAAGACCGTTGCTGAGTCAAGTCCCTCAGTGCCCAACCAACCGTTTGAACCGACTCTGCCTTCTTTACAACCCTTGCCAGTTTTACAGACCAGGGAAGTTTTGGCTCCTCCATGTGATGCACCAATCTTTGCGAAGTCAGAGAATCTCCCACAGCGACCTAAGACTGGCTTGGGCCAACCAGAGCCCGGATTTGGGCTTCCAAACCAATCGTCGACGATACTCGGCCTCCGATCCTTTGAGTCACCCGGGGCCTTTCCCAGCTTCCCTTTGCGAAAATTCCAAAAGCTCTCTCCGCAAGATCCAATTGACGGCACACGTACAGAACGAACGGTCACGTTGAGCACGCCGTATCCCGACGAGTCGGCATTGCTTTCGCCTAGAGCCGAGACTATGACAACAAACCCACTCCATGACGTACATGAGGTCGCTGGGATGCGATTTGTTGAATCGCCCCCAACGCCCACAGAAAGCTTGTTCTCTCCAAGGGAAGCATCTTTCCCGACGGACCCGTTTTCATTTTTTGGCCGCATGATGGGTTTCAATCGGCCGGCACAAGCAGCCGACCCTCGAAGCCCACCTACAAGAGGGGAAGCTCCGATTATTCGCTCCATTGATGAGCTTCTGTAATGAGCTTTTTGATGAGGTTTCATGTGGGAACGACTACCATCTGCCAAAGCGCATTGCGTATTGGTTGATTCGTTTGACGACGCGACTCTGGATACCACCTATATTGGTATATATATATATTCATGTATTTGCGCAGCGACATTTTCTGTATGATTGTCATCTGGCCGTTGTATTTTCAACAGCACTACCGAGCAAATCGGTTTATTCAGCGAAACTGAAGCCGACTCAAAGTATACAATACCCGCCTATCTATCTCCCCACATATGCATTTTCTGGCATCATACCACAGCCCTGGCAAGGATACCTCCCACACAGCATTGCAGGCGTTCTTTTCTTGTGTACAACAGGCTTTTTATGCCCAGGACACATCACCCGTACATAGGCAAATTTGTCACGACAAGGCGCGGAGTCAAGAGACCCGGATTTTGTGCTATCGTTCTAAATCTCTAATATCGAGTCAACCCTTCGATCGCTTAATGGGTTATTCTATTTCCTTATTTTAATTGCATGACAACAGACCGGGCGCGGGGACACGGCGCAAGAGTACTTTCTTTGGACATACGCAAGTCCAAGGGACATGAATTGAGTGGTCCTGCCTTCTTTCATAATTTTGAAAACGGCGTGGCATTGATGCCCGCTGCCTACCGATTAGTCGCTTATCCAGTCGTTCTTGGATACAGGTCTGTATCCCATTATTGGGGGTAGCTTATTTACTTTGTTCAGCATGACTAGTGACAAGCAAAGCGAAAAGAGATGGGAGAGGAAGGGTCTTGGCATACACTTTCTGCCGGCTAGGCTTGAGTTTTTGGGATCCTTTTTTACAGCATTGTGGGTCCAGGAAAGCGGCGGCTTTGGTAGCCTAGAAATAATGAAGAAATGCCAATGTTTTTAATATGCCTAAGGGGATTTTCTTGTGACGTGGGCTATATCTTGTAACCTGCTCTTCTCCCACTTGTGTGACGCAATCTAACATCTCTCACAAGCTAATTATCTGCTCATACATATAATGTGTATCAATCCTCTCTGCCTTATCCTAACTGCGCCGTGCGCCAATAATGCAAGTCTTTTGATGTGCATATATTTACACATACGTTTTTTTCTCGCCCCAGTCTCAGCCCCCCGTATGCCTGTTCTTGTTCTCGAAATTCACCATGAATTGACATCTTGTATTTGCTAGATTAAGAATCCTTTTTTGCAATGGTCTTCTTCGCAGCCTCCTTTGCCATCTTCTCCTGCCTGGCAATACCTGCTTCTACACCGATTCCACCGAAAACGAGACCAACGCCTAGCCACTGCATGTGAGTGAGGCGGTGGCCAAACGCGACGACCGACAGGATCATGGTGAACATTTTGCGGGTGACAGTCACGGTAACAAGTAAGACGGATGAGAAGGTAGACAAGGTGTAAACTATAATTTGGAGTTAGCATGGTGTTTCGGGAGGCGTGAGAACTACTGGACGGATAGAGGACTAACAAATGAAGACTTGGCCAATGGCACCACAGGCTGCGAAGCCAAGAACATCTTTCCAGACCGCTGGGTAGCGGCGCATAAAGTCCAAGGCGGCAGGCAATTCGCCTGCACCACCGGCGACGTCCATGCCGAGCCATTCACCGATACCGGTGGCGACGAGATACGGACTGGCTAGAAGATAGAGGCCTGTGACAAGGGTGCTCATCATGTTGTTGGCGCACATCATCTGAGGACCGCTGTAGGGACGGAAGGTCTGGAAGATGTAATCCTGGGTGCTGTTGGTAAGGCCGTCAAAGAGCAAGTTGATACTCAGGAGAAGAAGACCCCAAACGACGTTGGCCTCTTCTGACTTGGTTGACTTCTTGCTCTTTTTCCCCGAGTGGAGGGTGAAGACGGCAACGCCTGCGGTTACGGCCGCCACGACGAGGTACTTGTAAAGCGGGTATCGCTTGCGGAAGATGGTGATGTGAAGGAACATGACAGGTAGTAGCTTGCAGCTCTTGGCTAACAAGAAGGTGATGTAGTCGATGTGCGCGAGACTGGCATATCCAAAGGGACTGGCCAGACTGCTGGTTATGGCGACGAGCGCAAGAGGCCCAAGAATTCGACGCGATGGGATGATTGGGGGAATGGAAGAACCCTTGGGCGTCGAGAAAAGGAGATAAATTGAACCGACGGTCACAGCGAAGAGAGATTGAATGGTGTTGAGAAATACTGGGAAGTGCCATCGCTCCGGAGCGGCCGCCGAGCCATGAGGCGTCGTTGTCAGCTTTTCTTGCAAGTAGGCCCATGTTAAGCTATCAAAAGAGTTCAGTAAGCATATGAATACAACGAATGCGACTCTGCGTATTTCATGACGACCTACAAAGAGGCATAGATGCCGGCGACAGAGATAAAAAGCTGTACCACACCAGCCTCGGGCTTTGCACTGCTCGAGGGAGGGCCATTGGCAGCTGTTGTGTACCCGTTTGTTACTTGCAACTTATCTCCTCTGTCATCGGTGTCAACCCAAGATGCTGTCTGCTTGTTGAAAAATTCGGACGACGATTCACGTCTGACGGGGACTTGTTTTGTTCGTGCCATGATCGGGTGGATTTGTAGGCAGGGCGAACGAGAAAATCGGACGAGCGAAGAACATCAAAAGTGAGACAGGAAACAAGGAGAGGCCCTTCTATAATACGAGCTTCTATAATGTAAACGCAAGGGCAAAACGATGCAAAAATGCAAGAAAGAAGGAATGAGGTTAGCAGGGAACTGGTCGCGAGCACATGGTCGGGGCAAATGCCAATTTGTCTTCAGCCGGTCTGGTTGGGCCGCCGCCAGTCCCCACCTCCTGGGAAAGGCAAAATGCCATGCTGGCTTTATCGACGTCAAGTGACGTTTAGGAAGGACCCTGAGCTGCGCCTGCCGCACACGCAGACGCCGGCGTGGGGCATGGTGACGGCTAAGCTACTTCGACGGGTCCAAGAGGACTTGGCGCGATCTGGGGTCTCGACGCCCATCTGTTTGTGCATTACTTTGCATGAACTAGATGAACTGTGCCCGTACAAAGAACCGCTGGACAAAAATAAAATGGCATTCACAAGACAGCAAAGCACAAATCATGACTAGATATTTCATTTCTTCGCGTTTGGAAGGGTATGACTACATACACTCCTATTCGGGTGTCCCATCACCCCCAAAATACGTATCATCATCAATCATGCTGCGTAGTGTAGAGAAGACTCCCACATCACCGGGACTGTACGGTGACTGATGGGGCCGAGGTGGCGAGCAGGGTGAAGAGGTGTGTTGGGGGTATTTGAGGCAAGAGATATCATAAATCCACCATTACAATGACATGCTTCGTCAATGCCTGCGGCCGAGAAGCAACAATTCCAGGAGGCTTTTAACAATTGGATTAAGAAAAAAGTCGTGGCATAAAATAAGAAGCGAGGGGTGTTGGAGGGAGATCGACGGTGTTGAGTAGAGACTGAGACCAGGAATGACCACCATTGCGAGGGCATCAAGCGAGACTATCTCCAACCGGAATTATAAGTTTTGGGTCCTCCGCCTTGAAAGCAGCGACTTTAGCTTTTGGTAGTCTTCAAGTTTTCCTGTCGACGGCGTTTGCCCGGTGGGTGGTGATACCAGGGTGTGAAAGGAGTGCTTCGGCGTCGTATGAGGTGGAACCTTGCGGCCAGAAGATCCCTCAAATGTAAAGAAAGAGGAGCAAAGTGGTACGGATAAAGCGGGTAGGTGAGTTGATACAGAATTATTGGTGGACGGCGGGGGAGGTGTTGAGCGCGGCGTCGAAATTGAAAGGAAAAAAGTAGTGTCGTAAGCCCATTTCTCCCCCAAGGGTGGCCGTGCCGTTTTATGAATAAAAGAAATGAGAAAAATGGTCAGGAGAGAAATGAGAAGCACGGCTAACAAAAATATAAGAGTTGCGACTGTTTGGGCCAAGGGTTTTCTTTTCTTTTTTTTCTTTTTCTTCTTTTTTGTGTCCCGTCCCCCCCGAATACTTTATTGTTGGGCGATTCCAAAGTCACGAGCAGCATGGTATCCCAATCAATACCTGGTTCCTGGAGGGAATCGGGAGCCTTGCGGCAAGCCAGATCTGATTGAGCTTTAGTGGCTTAAGTTCTTCCAAATCCAATTCGGATGTAGCTCATTCACACAAAGTGATACAGAAATAAAAAGCAAAGCGTTGCTCACAGAGCGTAGGAAGGGTATGACCAGAACTTTACTCCGGCTCCTGTAGCTGGCTTCGGCGCATCTTCTCTGCCTCGAGGTTCTCATACAGCAAGAACAGAGCAGACTCATTGGCCTTGGCAGTACCCATGATGGTGAACATGCGCTCGCCCGTCTCATCGTGTGGCGCCTTAACCAAAAATCATCTTGTCAGTTTCGAGTCGCATGGCGAGTTGCACGCACAGCAGGGTGCGGGGTAGCTTACCTTGGCAATAGAAATGCGGGCTCCCGACGTCTTACGGATCTCACTGATCTTGCTGCCGGCCCGGCCGATGATGCAGCCAACCATATCTGCGGGGATGCTGATGTTCTGAGTCTGGATCTCCTCGCCATTCTCATCGTGTGTGGGGGGACCGCGGCTGGCTGCGTCGGAATCAGATCGGCGGCTGAATGGTCGAACACCACCATTGCTGAAGTCGGCTCCGTTGCCGGTGCGCATAACCCGAGGACTACCGTAGTCGCTTCGGCCGCCACCGTTGTTGTAGTTGCTTCCCAGGCTACCGGAGCCGGCTTGAGTGCGCACAACGGGGTTGTAGAGGACAGTGCCGGTACCACGCTGCCAGTCGTCGACAAGGCACTTGCAAATCTCCCACACAGCTCGCTGAATGCCGTCGGGAGTGCCCTGGACTTCGACAATTCGTTCCGTGGATTGGGGTAGCATTTCCTTTTGCGCTACCATGCGGACGCCGGACACATCCTGGATATGCTTGATCTTGAGTCCTTGCCTACCGATGATGGTGCCCATTTGGTTGTGAGAGATGAGGAGCTTAATAGCTGTTGAATATACTGTTAGCTCAAGAACCTGATTCTTCTAAAGGGTTGAGAATTGAAGACATACGGTGCGTGCCGTTGCTCTGGACTATTCCTCCCATACCCATAGCTGGGGCCCCTTCGAGTAGGGCTCTGGCTACAATGGCATAGGCTCTGGAAATAGCATCACATTCACCAGTGATGGTAAGGACACGATCGTGAACCCCCTGAACTACTTTGCTGACGCCGGCTTTGACGCCAGTCTCGTCGCGGAGGTCAGCGACATTCTTGCCTCCCTTGCCAATGATGACACCGGCTTCTTTGGAAGAAACGATGGCTCGTAGAGTGAGCTGGGCCTGGGCGTATTCCTCGTCCGTCTTAGGGGCGGGCTCGCCGTCTGGACCAAGTCTTTCCTCCATCTTCAGTTGATCCAGGTGGTCGACAAGATCATTGCCATTGGCAGACAAAACATCCTGGGGGGCAGACATGTTGAATGAGGGATTCGGTGATGGTAGTGGAGCAAATTGGGTGAGGATGGGAAGAGGGCGGGAGGGTTTGTTGAGATGAAGAGGTCGTGCCTGTGACGGCTGATGGGGAGCTCGACAGAGGATCGGCTGGCTTGGCGGAATCTGTTTCGTAGCCTGGTTAGTTCTTTCCGTTTCTTGCAATGACTGAGTAGTAAGGAGGCAACGTGACTGAATTCAACAGTCGATCGCCTACTGAAGCTGCGCGCACGTGGTCACGGTTTCAACATCTGAACTTGGGCAAGTAGATGGGACGCGCATGCAGCAGGACCAGGTGGGCAAAACAACGTGCGGCGCGCAATCACCGCACGAGTAGAAGAACAGAAGAAACGTCTAACATGGACGAGGGCCTGGATGGCAGGCAGAATGGACAATGAGAAGGGAGCGCAACAGACCTGATGCTCGAGGATTGGCGGGGCGCGTGACAGGCGGTTCGACTATGGTTGAGACGGGAGTCGTGCTGTTTTTTTCCTTCCCTGTGAGTTGGGCGGGACGCAGCGGGGTTGAAGGGTTCAAGAGTCGACGGGTTGACGGGTTGACGGGGTTGGCGGCGAGGAGTGCGGAAGCGGAAAATGAGAGGAAATGGGGGGGAGAGGATCAAGAAACGGAGGGTGAAGTCGAAAGGGAAGAGTTGAGATGAGGATTTGGGGCGGAAGAGGTGGTGTAAGTTACGAGGGGAGGAGGATGGAGGTTGCGGATGGGAGGAGAGAATAGGATGGGATGGGATCAAAGAGATGGGAGCGGATGGAAGTTTGGATCAACGTCCAGGTTGGGGAAGAGGTGAAGCGCAGAGGGGTGCAGAAGTGCAGAGTGGAGCGCTGCAGCTGGGGGACTACTGCTACTGGACATTGGAGGAAGCAGCCAGGCTACGAGTGGAAGCGAGAGAGACTGGCATTGACGGAGGCTCTGACTGCCAGGCAGCGTCAATGTCAATGTTCAGTGCCCCGGGCTGCGGTGGGAATGGCCAGGCCACTAATCATTAGTGGTTCCTGAGCACCAGACCGCCTGGCACATTCAGTATTCAATATTGACGAGGCACACAGTCTGTTTGCGGCTGCTACCAACCATGCATGGAACGCAGCTTTGTCTTGCCCTTGACAGCACACCCGAGTCCCGCCCAGTGGGACGCAACCAGCTTGCTCACTTCAAGTATACAACTCGGTACATGTAGGTAGTACCTGCCTTCAATGTTGGGAGGTACGTACGCAAGTAAACACACCGGATGAAAGTTATCGATTGGACCAGGACCTTGGCAGGCAAGCAATTCGGAAACCTACCAAGTACTTAAGTACTACCTGCTAGTAGCACCAGTTGACCTCTTAGTAGTATGTACTTAAGTACTTAAGTACCAAGACTGGTAGGCCCGCCTGGCTCTCGATGTATTATATATAATCAAGCACCCAACACATTCAAGGACATGGAAACATGCAGCTCCAGTGTCGCACACTGCCCGATGAGAAAGGGCACAAACTACATGTATTGTCCTGGCAAACATTTCTTGGGTCCATGTCGGTACTCACTTAAGTAAGTACTGGGCAGTGCTCTGTGCGGTAGCCATGCCATGCCAGGCCTGAAATCTGCACAAGCACCTCGTCCTTCGATACCAGACATTTTAATGTTGCCATCAACATGTTAATGGGCAGCCAATTTTGTTTCTCCCCCATCCCGGCCTAGCCCACCATCTATCTGCCAGTTCCATGCATGCAGGTTCAGGGCCTTATACTCCATGTCCACAAGAAGCACGCCGATGCAGCAAACTACTCCGTACTGCCGCCACCAGTTTCTCCGTGTGCCGTAACAAGGACTCTATAGGTGCGCTGGGGGGCATTGGCCGCGTCTTGTGCTACCCAACTGCTTCATCTTGTTCGCCTTGGGCGCTCGCTTGCTTCACTGACACTTACTGCACTGCGCTCCTTCGACCTTCACCCTGCATAAGCTGGAAAGTGGACAGCAGGACACGCCCTGCTCGGTTCGAACGTTAATGCCTGTACGGGGTATTGGCTGATCGAATCAATTGGCTGTGAAACAAGACAGCCACTTACGAGTGTCTGCAGATAACATGACAAGCTACGAGAACGCCAGTAAGAAGAGAAGGAAGGAAAGAAAGAAAGAAAAGAAAAGGGCCGAAACAAAGCACAGGGTATATTTCGAGGCGTATACGTTTTTGAACCAATCAACCAAGTACACCGCATTATGCAGCTGCTTGAGAAAACTTCCACATGAGAAACACCAACAAACAGAGGGGAGAGCTTTCTCCATCTCGTCTAAGCTTTAAAAGAAAAGGCGTCGTCCGTCATTCCCCCAAATCATGCTTTCCATATCATGCCCAGGTATTTGATCTCCTCACGTGTCCAGCGGACATAGCCAACAACCTGGCTTGATAAACTCAGTGGAGCTCTTGCGGCGCATCCAAATCCACAGCCTCGACCATGCTTCTTTGGACTTGACTCCTGCCCACTAGCTCGTGGAAAAACTTGGAAGCTTCTTCACTTTCGTGTCGGACTTTGTCGGCCTCATCCCGTTTGTTACCTAGGTCCTTGACGCTTTGGTCGAGGCCGACGCGGAGACTGTCAGCTGGGAAGCGCAGGACCTTGCGGACTGATGAGGAAATTCGTGATGAGTTGGCATGGATGTAGTCTAGTTCAGCCAGCTGCGAAGAAATCTTGGTGGCGAGTCTGGGGGGTAGGGAGTTGGGGATCTGCTGTAAAACGTAGGCGACCCCGGCGATCGCTGTCTCAATGTTAGCTAGGCGGCGTGGAGCGTGAGTATTTTGATTCCAGTTCACTTACCAGCAATGACAATTCCAGGAACAATCAGTTGACGGAGATTCCCATTGCTCAACACCCGAGTCGTCAACATGGCATGATCCATCCAGTTACTCATGCCAAGCATTCGAGGCACGACAGCGCCCGCCACCGTCAAGGCCATGCCGGTCCCTGCAAACTTCTCCTGGCGCTGCAACAGAGTCGACCAGTCCACAAAGTCCCAAAGCTCAGTTGGAATATGAACCTGTCGTGCGAGAGCATCACGCTTTCTCCGGAACATGACGTCTGGTCGAAACTGTAGGTTCTGGAACTCGTCCCCAACATGTAGCAGGCCCAGTTGTTTAATAGTATTTACGCCTTGGACGCTCTTTTCTCTGCCGTATTCTTCGCAGCGCGTGACGGCGTCCGTGATGTGCGAGAGCATGGCCTCTTTAATATCGTCGGCATACTGGAAGGCGCCAAAGACGCCGGGGTATGGCACGTCGTAGTTGGTCCTGCCGGCCTGAGTGATGGCGGTATTAAGCTCAGAACGACTGTGATCGTAGACATCTTGACAAGTCTCCTCGATGTTTCGATCTATTTGCTCGCTTACTTCGGACCTGGCCTTTCGACTTGAGGCGAGTTGTGGCTCAATTTCCCTGAGTTCAGCAGAGACCCTGTCAATCTCTGACTGGGCAACTTCTTCGTTAACCTGAGCCAAACTGTGTATATCATTGAGGATGTTCAATAGATATGTTCTCGCAGGGGCAAGCTTGGACCTCGCCCTCTTTTCGAGAACGAAGCGACGCAATGATGCTTCCAGAGCCTCAAAGTCTCGAATCTTGTCCAAATCTTTGCCCTTGCCCTTTGCTCCATCGTCGCCTGGATCATCGCCTCCACCTCCACCGCTGGAACTGCCGCTTCCGTTGCCACCAGGACCTCCTGGCGGTGCTGGTCCGGCTGGAATAGCATTGCTTGATACAAAGTGAACAAGGTCTGATGATTCTTTACGAGTATCTGGGCTCAGTCCAGAAACTTGATCCAAAATAAGCTTCTGGCATCGCTCCTTGTCTCTGATGGTGTCGTAGCCATTGACGACAATGAACAAGTAGGCCTTCTCAGCGGCGGCTGCGTATATAAACTCCTTGGCAGACTGTGTGAAATGATTTGCTGCTGAGACAACGAACACAACGACATCAATTTCCTCCTGTCTGGCGAAAATGGCGGTAGTTTTGGTAGTATCTGAGTTGAGACCTGGTGCGTCGATTAGCGCAATGTCGACTACGCCATTGTTGAGTAGTGACTCGTCCACTGTCCGAATATCCTTCACGTATACCTTGCACTGAGTATACGTTTCGTTATCCGTAACAATTTTTTCCAGCTCGGTCAAAGCATAAACGTCGTAGGTTGTCTCGTCATGTCTGCTGTAGGTGCAATCCTTGTGCACGGCGTGCACTTCCTCAATTCCCGCATTTTCCCTGGCGTCTAGGACTTCGCAAAAGATGGCGGTGCATGGCTGTTGGTCCTCTGGCAGAACTTTGCGTCGCAACAGGGCGTTGCAAAAAGTCGACTTTCCAGCATTCAAGTCACCCGTGATGAGGACCTTGCTGGAAGTATCTTCGATGCGCTCGCGGAGGGATAATAGATGCCTTATGCTCGAGCTAATTTTGCCGTCCAGAAGAGCTGCAATGGAGTTCTTCTCTAAAGAGTGCACAAGCTCGGCTTGATGCAGGGCTCCTAATTTCAGATCCAATTTCAAAATAGATAATTCTTGCGCAATTTGGGGAGAAACTAGCCTCGGCTCTGGCGCCGGTCGGTTCTTGGCGGCGCGGCTCGACTCAGCGGTTGAAGCATCGGCGGCAGTCAGAGATCGCCTTAACAACGGAGGCTGGGCGGTTGTTGACGAAGAGCTGGCAGCGTCTCCTGAAACTGAGTACGTGCGTCCCATTCCGGGCCTTTCTGAGCTCGTCGCGTCCGCAGGCCGGATGGTCGGATAATGGGCTGGCCACTCAGTGTTCATCTGTTGAAGACTCTGTAACAAATCCAGGACCTTGTTGATCGACCTGCCTAGTATCGCGCGTTGGCGGTAGTACCACATCTGATGGCCTGCACTTGCTCTGCCTCGAGGATGCTGACTTGAGTCGGAGGTCGAGTTTGTCGCCGATGTCATGGCCATGTGGTGATCTTCGCCAGCCACGCTTCCTCCATATCCAGAATCGACATCCAGCATATTCTGCAACCGTGCGGCGTGCTCCGATGTCGATCCGCTACCAACCGTCATGTAATGAGGTCGACTCGATGATGAGGGACTCGAGTTCTTTGGCGCGTCGGGATCGGGATCGGAGCGCAGCGGCCCCTTTCCCTTGCCGGTGAAATAATCCTGGCTCATGTCAAAATAATTCAAGCGACCGGCATGGTCGAGTAGGGTGACGAAATGGTGATCGATGTTGGCAGCGTTGTGGTTGTAGGGTCAGGAATTATTTCGGCGCGAGAGGGTGGGCATCCTGGCTGTTGGTCGTTGCAGTTGGCATGATTTTATCCAAGACGTCCGGCAATTTCGGGGAGGCACGGTGGAACCTAGGTACCTAGTACATAAGTACCCAATACACACGTTCTTTAGCGGACAGCGAGTCTAGTGACAAAGGCTGGTGCCTGAAGGTGCCTCCAAGCAGCTGTAGAGAGGCGCGGGGTCGGGGGAGCCCCGGTATTGATGAGCCATAGATAAAGCACTTGACTGTAAATACTAAGAAGCACCAAGTATCTAGTACCTACTAGGTAGTTGACACCAGGCGGGACGTCGTCATCGTGCATGCCAGGTCGGGTGCTTTTTATTATTATGGCTGGACTACGTAGTACCGCCTCGCTCAACGACCTCGGCGGCCTTCAACTTTGTCCGTCTCATGGCTCCGGAACATGTCAATTCGCCAGAGGTTTCAAGGCAAACAAATTATCTCATTGACGTAGCGCTGAGAGTCCTCTGCCATCATTTCATTCTTGACAGCCAGTGTGACCTACGTGCCACTACCTGTCGATCATAGACGGAGACGGGTAAGAGGATGAAGGGTTCTGTGCTCATGTTATCATTGTACTGCCGCTGTTATATACAGTAATATGCTCATATACTCCTGCCACCTTCCCAAAAGACATTGTAACTTTATTCATGATGGTACATCATCTCGTTCATCGCTGCCGCAATAGTTGCTCGTGCTCTATCCAAAAATTCTTGCAGGCCCTGTGGCCCCAATGATCTACCCACCATTCCCCGAAGCTGTCTTCAACATCCAAGTCAACCTTTGCAACCCTCTCTTCTCTCTTGAGCCCACAGATAATACACGGCTTAGGCGCGGTCGGGACCATCTTTGCCGTCTGAATTAATGGGGTTTCTGTAAGCTCTGGCACTTGAATCTTGGCCTTGCCAGCAGAGTTAGCCGTTGCCACGGCAGACCGTAGTCTCCCTACATGCTCCCGCCATGCCGCAACCACGTCAGCAGCTTCACGGTCCTCTCGTGCAGATTGTTGTTTATCCACACCTGCCAACTTCATGCCCTTGCTTCCAGCTGCTGAAATTGACATGCTCTTGGCCAGGATCTTGTCTCGGTGCCATCGGTGCTTGCGTCCTGCGATCACTCGCGCAGCCGTCGACGCTAGTAGAACGTATCCTTGAAGGAATTGGATAGTCTTGGGATTCGAGAGAACCTGTTGCTTGACAGATGGACTTTGCCCGGTAACGGACTTGAACAAAGAATTTCCAGTATTAAAGAGCTCTGGGAATGCCGAAAGTAGGATCGAGGGAGGAGGAACATTTGTTGGTGGCGGGCTGCTGTCATCTACCATGGCCTTTGTAGCTTTGCTACCGTCACCAGCATCCCACGGCCACTTGTGTGTCTCTGCAGTTTCCTGACTAGAATCGTTGTCTCCATTGTCCGCGGAGAAATCATCCCAAGCTCCCCATTCGTCATCGTTTGCCGTCGCTTTTGCTGGGGACACCTTCTTCGTCACCGGCGTCATTTTTGTGGATGGCATTAGAATGGAACTAGGATTCGCTTTATGTGTTGACGTATGGGTTGTCTTCTTGACATTACGTTCAACAAAAGGAGGCTGGGTTTGGTTCGCCAGTGATTGAAGGGGTTGGAGTTTACTTGAAGACGTGGCTCCAAAACTTGACGCTGCGGCAGGCGGGCCTGACTCTTCCTTGGCCACTCTCGGTTTTGCTTCCTTGCGCAAAGGGGTTATTGGAGAATCATCAAGCCCCAGGAGATCAAGAGATGGTGTAAGTTGTGGGATGGTAGCCGGTACGGGCTTTGAACGGGGTGTTGACTCGACGGCCTCAAATTCACCAAACTCGTCGAAATCATCATGTTCTTCTCCGCCGCCTTGCAGTTCAAAATCGTCCGCATCAAACAACACATTTGGATCGTGATGCGTCGTCTTCATCTGTGCTCTATCCCTTGGTTCTGCTAGAGACCAAGAAAGCTGTGGAACGTGATCTACCCGACCGCCGAGTGAACCGAAATCTTCAAAGCCGCCGCCGATTAAGCCATCAGCCGGAGTGTGTGTTGCTGCTGCAGCATTGTAGCTTATGTCATGTGGGATAGACTTAGAGGCGGAATAAGAGCCCCAACCGCTGTTGCTCGAAACCAGAGGCCGTGTGTTCACTTGAGGCGTTTGCGCTACTTCAAAGTCCCCCCATCCATCGTCATCATCTGGCTGTTGCGGAACCACGGTTGATGATTGAGAAACGTGTGACGGTTGGCCCCAAGCATCCATGTTGTTTGGCATAGAACTTTGAAACGGCGTCGATTGTGATGCTTGTGAATGCACCGGCACTGCATTGTTTCTGCTGGATACATGGAAGGGATCTTGTATGTGGACATGGCTCTGTATCTGCTGTTGCTGCTGTGGTGGCTGTCCAAAAAGCCTGTCCGATTGCGACGTAGGCGGCGTCGAAGTTGAAGGATTACTGAACTCGGCAAAGAGATCTGCCGACATATTTACAAGCGTATGCGGAATACCATGCTTATGCCGCGACAATGAGTTGAACGCTGTTGATATTACTGCGAAGTGGAGGAGTGACGAGTGATTGGAGTCGAGACTTGACATCAATACACCATGTCGTCTGTGCTGGTTGATATGGTCTCAGTGCTGGTCTGGTGGGGCACCAGCAGGCTCCATGTTCAAAGACAGCGGCACTGTGCTCAACCTGCGCTGCCAGGGCATTGCGGATACTGCATGTCGGTGGCAACTTATTACCAGCACTGACCATTGGCAGTGCCAGACCAGTCATGACATGGCCATCTGGACATGGAACCACAACGCCAACATCACAGCCCACCTCAGCCTCTCTCTCGTCATCGTCGCCTCAACCGCAAAAGCCGTCTGTCCACGAATCCCCCCGGCCAGAAGGTTGCTGCGTGAGACAGGCAGCTTGCCATTTGCTTCCGGTGAACCAGGAACATCCATGTCCAGCAATTATGAGATCCGTCCAAGAGACTCGGTAAGACAGCAAGGCGCCCAGAGGAGCGGGGTGAGCTGACAGACATGACCTCATTAGATTGAGATGGCAAACAACACAGACTCATAGCACGAGCCTGGAAGATTTACAACGGGCTGTTAAATACAATGGCTCGTCCAGCCCTTGTTTGTCGGGCTGTCGGTCCGTATGCTGGAAGGTACTTGACAGTTTTTGAGCCATCATCACCTCACACCATCACCTTGGCGACTTGCATCGCAGATGAGCTGATCCATGCCTTTGACCAGACCTTCCTGCTGTCGACTAAGGGACGCATCACGAGCTGGGCGGACGCCTTGGAGGAAGGCAGAAAAGACTACCAAGAGCGCAGAGACCATTTTCTCAAGTTTATTCGGCATCCCGAAGCCCTCACCGAGCTCACCGTCGACCCGCTTGCTGATGATCCCGATGTTAGTAATTGCTCGCCCAGCTTGTCTGATGCTATACTCGCATGCCTACTTACCAGATCTAGTCACCTTGGAATACAGTACGACAGGATGAGATAATCCGGACAGAGATTCAGCAAGATGTCCAGCGGCTCCCTGACGAGGTCAATTATCATGAAGACGCCGTACAAGGCATGATTCTGGACATCTTGTTCATCTACTGCAAGGTCAACCCCGACAGAGGTGGATATCGCCAAGGCATGCACGAGCTTCTTGCACCAGTAGTGTATGCCCTTGAACAAGATTCAATCGACTCAGAGGCTTCTGGTAATGATGCGCGTCTTGATGCAAAAATGCTGCACGTACTGGACTCTGCCTTTATAGAGCACGACGCTTACATCCTGTTTTCAAAGCTCATGGAGCAGGCGCAGTCATTCTATGAGGTTGTAAATGGAAGCACGCCGTCAAATCACGATAGCCAACCAGTGATTATGCAAGAGCAGCTTTCCGCTATTGTGGAGCGAAGCAGGTTCATCCATGAGATTTGTCTGCAGAAAGTTGATCCGGAACTCGCAGTTCATCTCACAAATATAGAGATCCTGCCCCAGATCTTCCTGATGTGAGTGGAAGCACTTTCTGTATGACTTCAACGGCTTTGTGGTTAACCTGCATTCCTGCAGCCGATGGATACGACTCTTATTCAGTCGCGAATTCCCATTCAGCCAGCTTCTTGTGTTGTGGGATACTATATTTGCAGTCGATCCCTCACTTGAGCTGATAGACCTGATCTGTGTTGCCATGCTGGTCCGGATTCGTTGGCAGTGTACGTCATCCCGGGATTGCGGCTATTCAATGACTGATGTGTAAAATGCAGTGTTGGCAGCCGATTATTCTGTCTGTCTACAACTTCTTCTAAAGTATCCTCCCCCAGAACAACCCCATGGGCCACACACATTTGTCGACGACGCTGTGTATCTACGAGACCATTTAGACTTTACGGGTGGATCAAGTCTCATCATGAAATATACCGGAAGGATTCCTGAGAACCCCAATGACATTAAACCGACCCAGCCAAGCAGAGGTGCGGAGTCTGAAGCCAACTCCGTTCGTCAACTGGGCGGTCGGCCACCTATATCACCCTCTAGGCTTACCCAGCAACCGCCCAGCATGGAAGCCTTCTTCCAAGGAGCCGCTAGAGGCGCCAACCGTGTCTTGGAAAGGGGTGAAAAACTGGGCATCAATCAAGCAGTCCGTGATGCCATGGGAGAAATCAGACGCAATGTGCAAAGCTTTAATGAAGCCCGGCAAGCACAAAGGTCTCCAAGAAGTATTCTCAGTGATGAAGGCGCTTCCAAGGTATTGGCAGCCATGGAAAGACGCAACAAAGAGCTGGCTGGTCTGCTGAACGATACAGTTACGAACCTCAAGACGATATCCCTGTCGGGGTTTGAGGATGAAGCTAAGAGCCTGGAACTCATCGAGGTGGCGGCCGCCAAGATCCAGTTTGTGCAGATCTACCTGGAAGATTCTACCATGGATGTTCCCGTCTTCTCAACACCAAAGAACAAATTGGTATCGTCGCCAGAGGGAAAAGAAAAGGTGGTCGAGGAGGCCACAGAGACCAGGGCGACAACAGCAAACCAATTACACGTGGCGCCGGCAACTAGCTCTGACGCACCAGCGCCAGACGTTTCAAAACTCGAAATAAACGAAGAGAAGCACAGTTCTAAGAAAGACGCCGCAGATCCGGAAAAAATGGTTGCAAGTCAGGACGACCAACCCGGAGAGGCGCCGCCCTCCGACCCCCTGGGAAACAACACGGTCAAGGTCCGGCCCGCCCCCGTCCCAACTCGCTCGACGCTTGCCCAATCATCCTTCTCCTGGATGCTGGAACCAGACGAAACGACACCCTCTCGCGCCCCGGCAGCAAGCAAGTCCCCGCCTTCGCAGCATGGTAAGAGGCATTCGAATAATCTGAGCCGAGAAAGGAATGCATTTCTGTTCGGTGAGATGACTGCCGAAGCCACCGACAGGAGCGCGCCCCCGAAAACAGATGACATATTTGGGATGGAGCCCATTGCGAAGCCCAAGGGCAAGACGCAAGGCTTGTTTCATGATAAATGAGGAAGCTGGGCTGTTTCTGACTAGATGCTTGATGAATGTATAATATCATACACGACGTTTTTATGTACAACCAACACGCTGCGATATGCACAAATCATCTATATATCCAGTGCCACAATGCAACTTTCACTACTCGTTTCCCCTAACTGACTACAGAAACAAATAAATCCAAACTTCATCACTCATTGACTGACCCCGCGTCTAACTATGTAAGTACTCTTTTTTTCAAGCTCCTCTTCCGCACCCAAAACGTAACGACAAATGCCGCCAGGCCAAACACCGACGTCGGCAGTAGCTCCCTAATAAAGTCGAAGCTTCACGAATGGGATACTCAATCTTCCGCGCCTGGTCGCCGTCGGGTAGGCGCGCCACAAGCTGGCTACAGAGGGTTTGCTGCATTACGGCTGAGGAGATACTCATGGCGATGCCGGAGACGAGCGAGCGGATGAGGTAAGAGCACGCTACTACGACGGCGGTATCTTTTGAGTTCGAGTTGGCAAGGAGGCTGGTAAGAATCGTCTTTATCCCTGCAACCGTCAGCCACACCATGTCACAATGAAGACAGACAAGACGCAAAACAAGAACGTTAAAAAAATGAATACCACACCCTCCGCCGAGACCGTTCATCATATTACCAATTGTCTCGCCGACAGAGCTCCTGGGCCACACGGAGAGGGAGATGGGCAACAAAATGAGCACGATGAAGCCGAATTAGCTCGCTGCATCGAAGAAATTGCCCAAGTGCCCCGCGAACAGGGCCGGGTGGAAGATGATGTGTGCTGGGGGAGAAGGGTGCGAAGCGACCCTGTCCTCGATGCGTGAGGGACAAGGGGATAACGGTGTTGGGCTTGGACCGGCCGATGTTGGAACCCAAGTCGAGGCCAGTGAGGAGAGAAATGACGGCCAACACGAGGATGAAAGCGTCGAGGAAGTCCATGCGTCGGGATTTGATGAGCCAGCGCTTGGATCAACACCGCGGTCCTAGAATATTAAGACACGGGCCGAGGAAATCTTGCACCGATACAACAAACATCACAGGCTCCAAGAAGCGCAGCCCTTTGCGACCCATGCTGGGCTCCCTTCCCACGGGCATGAATGAAGAGGAAGGACACCAAAATGTACAAAGTTTCGACAACAATAAACCTGGTCATTCTTCCGTCGTCGGCTCTCCATGCTCCGTGTGTGCAGCACCGGCGATGATACACTCACTGGTTCCCCAACAAAGCGTCATTTGAACAATGGCATTCTCTGCCACCACCAGTTCCGTTGCATGTTGGATAATGGAGATTTGAATTGGCCAGTGTGAATTCGTCGGTATCGTACCTTTCTTAGCTCCATTAGTGACTATCAGACAGAGGCTTCATGTCCTGGTTTATCAAGGTGTTGGCGTGAATTCGGTGGTGGTAGCTTGGTTGTTCTGGTAGGGATAACATGGTATCCCCCGGTATTAAAAGACACCTATATATACATCACATTCGATACTTGGATACTGTAACATATCAGAACACGACATACCTCTGACCTATACACGCAATCTCCCAGGGCCTGGAATTGGTCTATAGCCACGATGCCTCATGAAGGAGTAATTCTATATGCAAGCAACTCCCAAGGAAATCCGCCATTGCCGAACCCCCAAGCCAACTTATTGGAATTGGTACTTGATAACCAATTTGATTATCGGCAAGTCCCCTGCAATGGTGGGGGGCGCAGAGCAGATTGGCATTGCAAGAACTCGACGTGTTCCCTGCGCATGACTTAAAGTAAAGTTAGCTACTACCTTCTGTCTACCAGTCCTCCTGACAAATACTATGCGTTTGCCTAGCAGCAGGTCTCAAACTTAATGAATAGACAAGGCAAGGCAATGACCCCATAAAAGGGCAGGGAGAGAGATTTTACAATGCTACACTACTACATACTACATAATTTATCAACATGCTGAAACCGAATCGGAATCATGTTTTACTGTAATCGGCGACTCGGACTCGGTTGGAAATAATCTTGCACGCACCGTATGAGCACGTAGACAGCTGCATGATGTTGCCGTGGTCTATTACCGTGCAGCACCTCCCTTTCTATTGTGTAATTAGGAGTTGCGGGCTGGTCTGGCCTCAGTGCCCTTGCTTGAAGAAGGGTTGGCCTTTCCCATGCGCAGATCCTGCTCACACGTAATTCGACTGAGAAAACTTTGATGAATGTGTAGAAATGCGGCAAAAAAGGGTTATAATCAGATGACAAGACTTTCTTAGTTTTCGCTGGTGCTCTTGCGTCAGATTTCCAAGGCACGGCCCGCCCATGCGATGTTTGTGTTGGTTTTCAGATGCAGGCGAAGAAAGGGCCAGCTAGTACTCCGTACTTGGTAGCTCGAGGCCAGCCCATTCCTGGGTGTCAAGACGAGGGGACGTGTCTCGGTATGCCAATGCCATGGCGTGTTTGTACGAGCGGCGCACGGGAGGATCGCGCTTGGTTGGGGGAGTGAGACCTGAGACGGATGTGAGGGTGGTTCAGACCACAATCCCCGTGCTTGAAGATTATGCCACTGCGTCCTCGGCGCTCCGTATGTACACCCACCAGATTGTAGTACTAGTACTACCAATTGGTGCCTTTGTTCTCTGCGAACTAAGAAGCTCCATGATGTCCGGTGTTCCTCGGGGAGCATGATAGGGGCTTGTTGCGGCTCCCAGCCGCCCCAGCCGCATCAGGGCACAGACGTTGCCCCTATTGAATTGGTTGCATACATGGCCAGCACACCCTTGGCGAGCATCAATCAGCAGTCAAGGGATACTTGGCTGGTGATGGCGAAGAGGACAAAGGTTGCGACGCATTCATGATTGATGGGCGCCATCCGGCTGGACCGGCGGCGGGAGGGGACCAATAACGGCGAGTCATTGTGCAGGCCTTGATGAAATGAAAAGTTGGATAATTACCGCAACATGGAGGGCAATCTAGATAGTTCCTCATGCCATTATGTATGTGAGACTGGCAGTCTGGTCGTTGGTGTGTGTTCAATGTTGTCTGGTAAGTTTCTGCTGGGGCACCGTTGCCCCTGCTCATTTTGCGTGCATTGTGCCCTGACTAGAAAAGTACATTAACATGTACGGATGACGGGCGGGCGCTGGCAAGTGCACCCGACAAATGCGCACCCCTCCGCACTCCGTGTTTTGCACCAGACATGACCCCTCCCTCCTCCAGTCCCGAACCAATTTACAAAACTACTTTAATAACAACAGTATTATTAGCATTGTTGTCATCATTATCATCACGCCGAGGTGCGGAGACCGTACCACAACACGGGTTCCGGATGCAATACGAGGATATAATGCAATCCTCGATGCACTGCGCGGAGAATGCACTACTGCTCCGATCGACGACGTGGCTGAGGGGCCGCACTTGGTGCGTGTTCAGTGGCGCGGTGGCGCGGTGGCGCGGTGGCTGTCTCACGACCGACTCGATTCGGCTCAGGGGTCCATGTTCAACCCAGCTGAGCCCAGGCCACGGTGCATGCCAGTGCAAGGCTCAAGTGCTCGGTAATTATGACCAGTACTACGGAGTACTAGTAATCGATCCAGATGTCTGAGGGCCACAGGGACAGCCAAGCTGCATGAAATGCTGCGGGCTCATTGATCCCGGCTACGGGCCCCAACCCCAGAAGCGCCTTTTCGTCATTGAGCCGACCAGACCCCAGCTTGACCGGGCCTCCCATTGAAGCCTGCATGCGAATCCATCGTTATGCATTTGCTGATTTCAGGGCCGAAGGCTCCGAAGGGGCCGGCGCCGTCGACGTATGTATGTACATACATACATATCGACATACGTATCCATGCCCGAAAAAAAAAAAAAAAAACGGCCTGGTGCTAGTCGACCAGGGTCCATGGATATCTAAAACAGGTCGGTCCTTGACTCCTTGGGCTCTTACCTGATGTCGATGCAGGACGATTAGTCCGTAATCACTTCTGTTCGTCCCATCCAACGCTCGTCCTTCACCCCCAGCCCTTCAACCCCCTTTGGTACGATTTGGATGCCGCGTCTTCCTCGATATACCAAGAAGCTCGAGGCTCCTTGTTTCAATCTTGCCGCTGATCGCACAGGACTGAGCATTGGGCCGTTGGCGTACTTTGCGCCGTTACGACTCCCGTTGTTTCGTCGCAACGTCGCAACGCCTGGCCGGTGGAGAGTCATTTCTGGGTAGACACCACACGCCCAAGCCCAAGCCCAAATCGCCGCGCCCCCGAGGCACTCGATAAACGTATAAACATGCTGAGCCTACAAGAGGCTGCCCAGTCGCCACCTGTTGGGGGAACAGGTGGGCGATCGCGATATTCAAAAGCGCTGCCGTCCGTCCCTGTTGCCGACAGCCAAGGTGTCGCTGACCTTCCACCGCTCCCGCTTCCAAAAGACGTATCTGAATTCCAGTTCCCTCTCCCCCCGCGGAAATCGTCCCGTGCAAACGACAACACGACGGGTGGCAAAAGCATACCCAGAAAACCCGTTGGCTCATCGGCATCGAAACCCGCTGCACCACCGTCTGGCGCGTCCAACATCAATTCACCGCCTCTCTCGATTCCGCCTCCGGGCGGCTCCATGGCGATGCCCAGAGAAGCAGTTGCCAGAGCGCCGGAACCACAAGCACAGCCTGTTCTTATTGTTCCTCCCGAGTCCTCGCCCACAGATTCACTATCCAGTCTATTGTCCGCGTATTCTCGAGAACCCGATGCCCCCATGTCTGGTAGCACTTACACGACAGCAAGCACAGCCAACAGCTTCCATGACTCTCATCTCAGCCCGTCGCTGGGCAAAGACGGACCATCAGCTGGCAGCAACACTTACTCACAAACACAGGTGCCTGCAGTGAAAAGCGAGCAAGGTTTGGAACACAAGGCCCAGAGCCGCCCTGCGCCGCCTCGAAAGGACGATTCATCTCATCCCAGTTCGTCGTCTCCGAAACTGCTGCCCGTTGCACCGCTATCTGAAAAATCCTCAGCTCCTCGGCCTGAAATTTGGAAGCGTCGACCACAGACCGCCGAGAAGAACAAAGAGCTCTCCGATCTAAAACTAAGCCATAGCCACGGCTCAACTGCCTCGGCCTCGACAATTCAGTCCATTGAAACCGCTGTGCTTCTGGCCTATGCCAACATAGGTTCCGAAATCAAGCCCGCAGAGGAGCCGAAACAAGACGCAATACCGCCTCCTCCAGCCCTCGGCTTGCCCCGTCATAACGTCAAGCCAGTGTCTCAGGACAAGGGTCAAGAAACAGAAACGCAGATGGGGAGCATCGGCTCGAAGCTGCAGGACAAGGTGGGAAAAGCCCAGAAATCCCGTACCCCGGTGGATCGCAAGGACTTGCCTGTTCGCCGCGATAGCAAGCGGCCACCCACACCGGAATACCGAAAGGGAGATGCCAGTCCTCCGTCTTCTCGGGCTGACACTATCGCCAAGCCTGCCTCTCCCGTCTCAGCAACCGGATCGCCAAAGGAAGGGGCCTTGTCTACTGCATCCAAATCGCCACCTCCACAACCGACCGCACCGTCGAAATCGGAACCAGTCGCGCCGAGCCTTGTTTCTGTTCCTCCCATTGCTTCAACATCTGCGAGCAGGCTGCCCCAAGCCGCACCGGACCTTCGGCTCAGTACAAATCTTCTAGAAATGAAACGGAGCAGCCCACCTGCCAAGACACAATCCCTGACTATGAATGACAGCAACCGTGGCATCAGTATTTCGTCGGATTCAGTGTTCAGCCGCACGTCATCTGGTCAAAATGTTGTAGGCGCCAGTGCCGAAGAACCTAGTAGGCCTGCGACGGCCACCGGCTCGTTTGACCCAAGGATTGTCACTTCAGATACCCACGGACCGATGTACCGAGGACGTGATGGGACTCTCTACCCAGAAATGAAGGTCGTGCGAGAGCCAGACCCCAGAGCAGCATACTTCCCTATCCAAACGGATAAGCCTCTGCAGCCGGGCGCGATAATTTCTTCGAGGCCTCTCAACCACACACATTACAACTGTTTCCAGAAGCATCGAACCATGAATCGCCGGTCGAACCGAAATTATCCGCTCACTTGTCAGACGTGTGACAAAGCTGATACAGAGGACCGTTGGGTATGCACCTTCTGTCACCTGCGCATCTGTGAGACATGTCTGCAGGGACTGAACGGGCATCAAAAGGTGCTTAGAAGGTTGGTAGACCAGCTTCGAGCAGACACGCCTGTTAGCTTATCGTCAGCGTCGCCGCCTGGATCTGCCCTTGGCATCGAGCTCCCTGCATAGGAACGCACGGCAATGAAGGCACTGGTTGCCCGAATCTAACATTGTTTTGTGCTCGCCTTTCTTTGTACTAGTAAAGCATTCGCATTTTTCTATTAGTCTGGTTGGCTCACGGGGGGAGTGTCCAGCCCAGCTCACGACCTCTTGAAGATCTCGTCACGGTTATGTCATCATGTATGTAGAATGGGAAGCTGTCAATGGCTGGATTTTAGAGACGAAGATCTGCTGCAACAAATTACGTTTGACTTTTACGTTGGAGATACCTGCATTTTGGACAGCCTTGAGGATCGAAAGGCTTGGTTTGTTTTTTTCTTGGCATCATATAAATAGGGGACGGAGTAATATCGGAGGAGTCACCGCCAAGGGGGTTCGCTGATTGTCTTTTTTTTAAACAAAAATTCAAGAGCGGGTTCGTAGGCGAAGATTCACCCTTGGATTTGGTTCGTCATAAAGAATTGACCGAATATTCATGTCAAGAGTTTGCCAGGAGCCTAGTGAAACTCGTTAATGTCGTGTGTAAGGGACAAGTTCTGGGAACTCCAAATGAGACTTGCACAATATATTACATTAGGCATATGTATTCAACATTCAATGTTTACAATTGTCGATCCTATGGGAACTGAGTGGGTCCCGACAGCCGTATAATAACTGGGGCAGCCAGCGCTACAACTTGACCGGACCTTAACAAAGCACCAGACCAGACCAGACTCAAGCTAATCACCGAGTACTACTATCAATCAGTACTTGACGTATACGGCTGCCCCTGACATGAAGCTGCCATTATCAATACAAACCGGCGGCCATGTCCTCTCTGCAAAGGACTCGCTCCTTGCGTAAACCAACGATACCACCTCCCGCAGAAAAGCCGGTCAGACCTACCGCCACAGATGCAACACGAAGCGGCTCCCCCAGCCGGTTACCATTGAAGCCATTCGCACGACCTCCAACCACCATCCTGCCAGGCTCATCCGCAACAAACACCACCACAGCCGCGTCATCGCGAAGCAGCAGGCCCGCCCCGACCTCACTAGCACGCTCAAGCTCGCTATCCACAAGGGCAAATGGAGCCTCTGCGCAAGAAACGGCCAAGAAGGAGACGTCTCGCTACCCCCCGGCCAGCGGCGCGAACAGAGCGGCCGCCAGGACCCGACCTACGTCCGCAGGCAGCGGGAGCGCAGAACCTGCTCGGCGCCCACCGACGCATGTTCGTGCCAAGAGCACGGCGACGAGCCTACCACCTGCCACGTCGTTGCCGCCGCCGTCGAGCGGCCGCGTCGGCAGCCAGACGACGGCAGCCAGAGGCGGCCACGGTCGACATGTATCCATGTCCGTAGACAACAAGGGCCCATCTACGCCCGCGAAGCCAAGCGTCGCACCGCCGGCCGCGGTAGCAAAGGCACAAGCCCAACCGCGGCTGCGGCCCGCCTTCTCAACGCTGCAGCAGCATTACTCGCCGGCAAAGTCGCAGGCCCCGAAGCCGCTGACCTCGGCCATCATCGCCCCGCCCTCGCCGTCGAAGCTGCCAGCCAATATCGCCGCGTCGGCCGAAACGAGCAGGCTACAGGCCGAACTTCTGCAGCTGCACCTCCTCCACCGGGACTCGGGGGCAGTCCAGGCGCAGTGGCACGCCAGCGCCGAGGCGAAACTCGGGGCGCGCTTCGAGGAGCTCGGCCGAGAAAGCGGACGCGTGTCCGAGAGGGAGCGGTTCGCCGCGGAAAGCGACAACATCCTCGCTTTGAGGCGCTGGGCACGCGGCGGCAGGTACGGGATAGAAGACAAGATCCAGTCGCTGGATGAGATCTTGACCGGGCTGTGGACGCTCAGTGAGCCTGCGGGTCGGTACGCGAGGGTGGTGAAGCGGTTTGAACGCTGGGCCGACCACATGTGTGACGCCGAGGAGGCGAGACACGATATTGGGAGGATGCTGGTCCACGGCCATGACTCGTTGTTCGTTGGAGAGCTGGATGCTACTTGGAGAGAAGAATGTGCCGGCCTGACTAGACGCTTGGAGACTTGGAGGGCCCGCCTCGCCGAGATTGATGATTTGCCGACACAGGAGGGCGTAGCTACGGCCGAGGCGTCCAGTTTGGGGAGGATGCTCGCTGGGGCAGGGAATCTCGTGCACGATATGCTCACCGAGTTGCATGCCATGCAGGAGATTGAGCAGCAGGCACTGGCTAGGGAGGATGAGTGGATTGAGAGGGTGAATAGGGAGGGCGATGACGACATTGATACCCCGAGGGCTGGAGCTGTATGGCGAGTGATTTGACATGAGACTTTTTGACGATGAAGCGACCTCACTTGTACAGGGTATTTGTATAACTCCGCCATGTCTTTCTGATAATAATGAGTCATCGGCAATAGAAGGCGAGAACTGATGGGGGGAAAACAGATGAAATTTTCTTTCATAACTTATCAAAGACTGCTCTAACATAGCTATGCAGCAAACAAGTAACCTTGAGCAGACGAGACGTTTCGCACATCTCCCGGTCCACTCCAGGCCCTGTCAAAAGATGACTCGAATCAAAAGACTCCAAAGGGGCAGATTGAGCGAGAGGGCCAACATTCTAAATCCTACTGCTATAGCCAGGGCGGCGTAATATCATCGCACTCGTCTGTATGAATGACCAATAAGGCTTGGTGCGTAGTGCGCATTTTCTCGTCTTTTCTTTTCAAAATCGTCTTGCTCATAAGCGTACGTATCCCAAGCCTCCGTTCGCGCAGCCAAGCATCTTCATATGTGATCTCCTCTGAACCACCCCCCACTACAGGAACGCCTTTCTTGGAAAACCAACACCCTCAACAGCAGGCTCGTCTACAAACCAGCTGCATCTGTCGCCAGAGGCCTCGTTGACCAATGAGCAAGGCAGAGTGGGCTCGAGGGAGTCAAAGATTTCTTTCATGATATCCTTCTTTCCACCGCCTGTAGCGACAAATGCTACGCGAACGGCGTGGGTGACAACGGGCAGAGTGAGAGTGATTCTCTTGGGAGGGGGCTTGGGAGAATCTTCGATGGGGGCGACCCAGGCATCGGTCTCGCGAAGGAGAGGGTGGCCAGGAAATAGGGAGCAGGTATGGCCATCGGGGCCGCAGCCTAGGAGGACGAGGTCGAAGATGGGGAGGCGAACAGAGTCGCGACTTGCAAAGCTGCTGACTAGAGTCTTTTCGTACTGGTCGGCAAGTTCTTGGGTATCGTTGAGATAGGTGGTGTCTATGGGATGAACGGTAGGTTGCTGGTCGGCAGGAATCTTTTCGAGGAGCTCAGACTTCAAGAGGCCGTAGTTGGAGTCGGCGTGGTCCAGAGGCACGGCACGCTCGTCGGCGAAGAATATCTCCCACTTGGTAAAGTCAATCACATCTTCGGGGCCACTCGACGGGGCGAGAAGAGCCTGCGCAAGGGTCTTGGGCAAGGAGCCTCCTGAGATGGCCACTTTGAACGAATCGTGACGTGAGAAGCCCGCATTTTGACTCTGTACGACGTAGCCGCGGAGGGCTGTTGCGAGCGAGGCGACGTTGCCAAAGGCATAGAGGTTGGGCTGCGTCTTGGGCATGGTGACGGGAACGGAAATGCGAATGATTGTCCCGCGTGTGGAAAATAGGAAAAAAGTCGCTTGGGGTAGAGTTGGATTTCACAAGGATGCGATGCAGACGATGATGCAATTTCTCTGCTTCGGCTGTGGCGGCGGTAGAGATGGGCCGTGTGGCAGTTGGAGTATTGGAGTAGCTCTTCCAAGGATGACGTAAGGTCGTTTGGCCCAAAAAAAAAGAGGGCAACAGCTGCTCGCAGAAACGGATCCAGGTGACAGATCTGTGGCGGCGCAGGAAGGAATGGTGGCGAGAGGTGAGGGGACGTCGCAATGAAGAACGTGAAGATGCGAGCTGCTTGACGCTCAAGTCTACGTTAGAAGTCGCCAGGCTTGAAGCTTGACGCTTGATGGCGGGGTCGACGGTTTTGGTCGAGCAGATGCGGCTTGAAGGTCTTACTGGTCGCTGGGAAGACATGGAAGAAATGGCTGGTTCCACAAGAACCCGGCTCTGATAAGATGGAAGACGACTCCATAATACTCGGTAGAGTTCACTCCGTATCACGATATCACGGTGTCATGTATCATGGTATCATGTAACTACAGAACATTGGCAGCGAGACGACATGACTTGCATTTGCGATGATGCAAGGACCGAGTACTGATCGACCGACCGACTGACTGAATGTATGAACTTGGCCCAGCTCCAATCAAAGGAGTGAGTACAACGCAACGTCGGGAGCATCCGAGAAGACCATGCGACCTTGAGTGTTGCTTGAAGTAACCTTGTGCGTTCCTACCCTAGGTACTAGTTTGGCATCTCGCATGCCTCAGTACGTACATATAATAGTATATTAGAGGCTATTTTTAAGTGCGTTTTGACCAAACCACTGCTGCCTCTTGTCGAATAGGTGATATCTGCCAAGTTTGACGACATGCAGGTTGAACCAGCCCCCCACGATTGGGATTGTATACAGTATATGAACTCGTACTCATGTCACGTCATTGATACTGGCAGTCAATCGTCGAAGCCATGGCCGTGGTCGAAGCTTTAGGATGAAGGATGTGGCATTTCCTTGCGTGCGGGTGCCGATTTTCTTCGGCTGTACAGAGCAAGTGCTGGTAAGCTCTCTGCACCGAATGCACGCCGAGTTGCCGTTGGGCAAACAATTGGCGACGAATTGACTTGAAGCAGTTGTTGTCTCAATATATGTCTGCAACACACACGCACATAAACACGCTTACTCACTCACATTGAAAGCATGTGAGAAGGCGGGGTAATTTTGAAGGATCGAGTCCATGAGTGGTGCAATGCAACCAGTGTCTCTGTGCCCCGCCCCTCATTTGACGTTGGCGTCCATGCCGAATACATTTGACCTACGTCCCCAGTGCGGTGTGTTGGATGGTTTGATAGAGGATATCACATATCACGACCTGGAGGCAGGTGGTGCACCGCCTTTTAGCTGGGGGGGTGTTGTGGGATTTCACGCTTCTTGGGCAGCATAGGTTACAATTTGCACGTCTCCACCCCATTGGTGTCTTGCACCAGTTGGCCAGACTGCTCCGCGAACGAGAGGGCCTTGTTTGCACTCAAGTGCGGATCTGGTGATGGTGGCAAATATTGCCTGCAGGTGCAGGAGCGCTTGAGCTGAGGTGCATCTGTTTGTTGTTACCCAACCACCGCCCACTTTTATCCAATGGGTTGTCATGGATAGTGGATTTGAGTGTTGGTTATTCCTTTATTTGACATGTCGGTATAACATGCTCCGATGGTTGTGTCTAGTGTTAGTCTTCATGGGGATTTCCGGGATGAGAGAGATGCTTATGTGTTTACTGGCGTACCTGTAGACCAGACTGAATGTTGTCAACTGGTACTTAACGCTCCAGTGCATTTGCTCCATTGTCCCCCTGTCTCTGGGCCACACACTCCGCTCAAGCGCTCAAGCGCTCCCTGAGCTCGCTGGAGGTGCTAAAACGGCAAGTCCTCCTGTAAGTAGTACCTTCCGTCTGGTGTTTATTCCAGCCAGGCACTCGCACTGTAGCAGCGGCCCATCAGCAGAGACCAATTCGCAGCATTCATATTCGCATCAATTGATATATTGAAACCGCCTTTTCCGTAGCTACCCACCTTGCCTACGCCGACATCTGGAAGCTAAGGAGAAGAATTTTCGTCAAACACCAAGACCAAGTTTTAATAGTATTGGCGTGTCTAACATTTGGCTTGAGCCACCCGAACCCACTAGTGCGAACTGGCCGCATCCAACCAAATCCGAGTACCAGGGATCTGCTCAGGGCTGACATGGGTGGCCTGCGCCACATTTCACGAGCCATGCAAGTTCCATGCCTCGTTTTCCTCCTACACACACACACACACACACACACACACACGTAAGCAACGCGGGCACGCACACGCTTATTATATGCCTATGCCTTTGCCTATGCCTACGCTGACTCCGTATTACAAAACGGACGACAGCAGGACAGGCAGTCAGAATCTCCGCCCAACGGTCCCAGGCGGCTGTCTTTTCTCGAACCGCCTTGTCTCTGGGCCCTTGTCTGGGCCCCAATGCCCACGATAACTTCTGGCCTGTCAAAAGTCACTGATCTCCACGAGTGGCTGTCACACGCTTGCATCGGGAACGGTGGGTGCTGGCAAACAAACTATGAAAAAAAAAAGGTATTACAAAAGTCTTATGAACCCTGAATTTATCCTGTTCCCTGGGACCCTGAACAGAGGGGTATGTACATACAACACACTTCCAAGTTGCTCGATGCCCCCGACCCTGGGTCCATCTGGTCCATCTGGTGGTCCATCCGGAGCCAGATTGGTAGTTTGCCCCAAATCTGAATCTGGTGCCACTGAACCACCTTGCCCAGGGCCAATCCCTTCTTCTCATTCTTTCCCACCTTCTTCTCGATCCTTCTCTCGTATACTCCGTAATCTCACACTTGCAGTCTATAACTCACCAGGAGTGCTTCAAGACATTTGCGGCCCATAAACCTCGTACGTGGAGCTGATACACCCGTCATCGTGCCGTTCCCCTCTCAACTGTTTTGATCCGTCATGCTGACCTTGCCGCATAGCCCGAGGCGCTTTGCTATTAAGGCAAGCCTACAGCTCCTTCTTCTCCCCCTCGCTTGTGCCTATATCCCAAGTACGCCCTTGACTTCGTGCTGCATGGCTGTGCTATAAACAGACCACCGCCAATCCTCTGGAGCTTGCCTTCGATATCTAACCAACCCGAAGACCAAGGAACTATCCTACGACACAGCTCCAAGGGTGTTACAGAACTCTTGAAAAACGACCCTATCACAGTTCTGGGGGCACATCCCTTCTGAGAAGCTGCCTCGGTCACCAAGAGCCTTGACTGTGCGGGCCCAACGGCACATTTCATGTCTCGAACGAAGGACAGCATTGAACAACATGGACGACGTTGACCTCCGAGAGCAGTTGCTTGATCGGCGACTTCAACTGACAGAAGGCCTCAATGGTTTGCCCTATGACTTAATACTCTACCTGCAACGCGCCGTCGTTCACTCTGACTTGGGTTACCCGGACCTTGCTGCTGGTGATGCCTACAAAGCCTTGTTGTTAACCGATGAGGTCTGCAATGAAGGTTTTGAGTACCACGAAAAGGCCATGGAGAGCCTGTTGATGCACACAGGTGTTCCAATTCCAGAGGTTATGGCCTTCGGGGACCTTCCCGAAGAGTGGTCCCCTGCTGTCATCGAAAGCCTAGGTGGTGGCGAAGAGGCTGCCCGTCGACTTGCTGGCCTCGCTTCGATTCGAGCCTACCAGATCCTGGCACTGAGCCTGCTCCTCTGCGGCTGCTTGAAGAGTGCCTCCAACTTCTGTCAGCGCGGCTTGAAGCTTGCCCCTGAGAACAAGGAACTTCTCAATGCGCAAACCCACATCACGACTGTAGCTCGACGTCGACTACGCCGCGACGATTTTGATACAAACGACTTGCCTGATTATGGCCTGGTTCGCCGGGAGGTCTATCCGTGGAATGACCATGAGCCAGATCGTTTCGCAGAAGACTCGTTGAAGGCGCTCAATGCAGATCTGAAGACCATGGCGCCCAAATGTGCAGTGCAGGTCGCCACTTTACCAGTTTTGTTGGAAGGGGCAAGTAACACGGACCATTACGACATTATTCCTACTTGCAAACAGCTCGGCGTCTTCGCTGTTGAAGATATAGAGCCTGGGGAGGATGTGCTGCGTGAATACTCCCTGTTGACTGCCAACAACCGGTTAAAGGATCCCGTATGCGACGCTTGTAGTTCCGACCTTCCACCTCTTGGCAGTAATAACGAGGCTGTAAACTGCGACGAGTGCTATGACACTGTCTTCTGCAGTCAATTCTGCCACGATGTGGCCCAGGAACGCTACCACCCTGCGGTATGCGAAAAGGATGTCGATGCCATTGCCAAAGATCCAGAAGCTTCCGAGGCAGATGAGACCTTGTATCTTCTTTTACTGTCTCGAGTGTTGGCGCTGGCTTCACACCAGGAAGTCCATCCTCTCGATGTGCGGGAAGTTCGATTCATCTGGGGCGATTTCGTGCCAACGGCCACCAATGACATCGACATATCGCCCAATGCTGGGCCGCCTCCAGAGTGGACATTGCCATTCTCTTTCAAATATAATATTGAGACGCCACTTCATATCCTTGAGAAGATGGATATCGATGTATACACATCTCTCCCGCAGTACGACTTGTGGATATTAAACACTCTGTACGCAAAATTTCGCGGGACAGCATCGGCGCGCAAGAACCCTCGAGATGGTAGACCCGATGTGGCGGCTGTTCACCCTTACTGGTGTCTTGCCAATCACGACTGTGATCCCAATGTAACATGGGATTGGGGTGGCCGCATGGTCTTGTGGGCTCGCAAAGAACGTGTCGTCGGAGGCCGACCAGGCGGCATCAAGAAAGGCGAGGAAATTTTGAACCATTACTGCGATGTTTCGCTGCCGGTACAACAACGACGAGAATGGGCTCGAGGCAGTCTAGGCGGCTGGTGCATGTGCAAACGTTGTCGAGACGAAGCTAGTCAAAATGGTGTTGAACCACAAGCTTAGGTACCTAAGGCATATGCACCTAATTTAACTGATTGCGGAAGCAGATACCCTCATATTTCAACATTGTTTTTTTTTCGACGCAGCTGTATTTTATCACGTCAGGCACTGTTTAAGCAACTGTGCGCAGTCTTATCAAGCGGCTGTCGGGGTGTTGTCGGTGCGAAATTTCCGTGGTCCTTGCCTTTTTGTTGACGGTTACACGCGGCCGTGGATGAGAGACGAGGGAAGCTGTCAATGCTATTGCAACCCCGCTCAAATGATACGTGGACTCCGATCACAAAATGGTAAATTCCGGTGATGAGAGAGCCATTGCCATACCGAGAAGCCTCTGGTTGTCCACAGTCGGTGAGCAAATACTTTCAGGGCAACTTGCAATAATACAAACAACTTGGGTTGAACAACTCATCTGCCAAATGGAGCACATTAGTCCATCGTTTCCATCTCGGTACTGCCGGCTGATGCCAGACAAACGGAAACAATGTCATCACCGCCGCGGAACAATCATTTGCCCAAGCAGTCGAGCCGCTGACATGAAGCCCGATTAGGCTGATATAAAATTATATATTATATTGATGCTTATATGTATACCATTTCACACGTAATGAGCAATAAGTTGAATGCATTTTTCGTCCCCCACGTGGTCAAGCTCACTTTTCTTTTCCTTTTCTTTTTCTTCTTCCTTTTTTTTTTGGGCCGTGTTCAACAGCGTACAAAAAGCGAGTATAAACCAAACATTGAAAAGGGGTATAGACCAAGGCATGAAATTAACCACGTGTAAAACACATTATAACTCGGAACGGCTTTGTAGTCTCCAACCTTGGCGCCTGACTATGAACATTTAACCGCACACCAAAAAAAGGGAAGAAAAAAAAAGAAGTTTCCTTACCGCGGAGAAGTTTGGGCTATGTTTCCAAGCCTGAAGGCATCCATGTCACTGGAATAGAAACCCTTTCTCACGGGCTTTGGAGGCCAAAATGCCGACGCGTATTGTACAAGGCTCGAATTAAGAAGCTAGGGTATCAACCACCAAGACAAGCCTCTCACCATCTTTTGGCTCCTACAACAGAAACGTGTACAGGCACCCATTCGAGTCTGCGTTTCTTTTTTCCTTGGGCTAAGAAAACAAGAGACAGCGAGAGAGAGATCACCTCCCAGAGCCAGGCAGTGGCCGCGGCCCAACAATCTGCCTCCTCCCCGAACCAATGCCCTGGGCACCCCTGTTCTGGGAATCACCCCCCGTGTAGCCACTCCATTGTCCTACATCCCATCTGCCACCGATGCCGCCCCCGATGCCGTCTACGCCGCCTTCTGAACGGACAGCCTTGGCCGTCTCCTTCTGCGCGTCCTCCCACTCCTGCTGGCGCTGGCGCTCCATCTCCATCTCCCGCTCGAGGAGGGACTTGGACGCCCATCCGGCTGCCTTGGTCTGCGCCTGGCTCTGTACGCGGCGGTGGTCCTCGCCGTCTCGTTCCTCGGTGGCGCCTAGTTCACGGGAATACGTCTGGTGAGGTTTCGTCTGCGAGGGAGGGGTATTGGTCGCGAGGAAGCGGTCCGTTCGGTTTTGAGACGATGCAGAGGCGGGCGCAGCGTATTTCTTTGGGTCGGGGAGCGGCCGGCTGCTGCTGCTGATGGGGTTGGGGGACTGAGTAGACTGCGGTTTGGGTTTGGGTTTGGGTTTGGGAGTGACGTTGGGCTCGGGGAGAGGTCGGGGAGTTGTGGTGAGGGGAGGGGGGACTTCGACGTCGACGGATTCTTGGCGCTGCGGCTCGAGGGATGATTCTCGAGAGCCCTTCTGGTGTTCTGACCATTGGCTTTGCAGGTAGTCTCGCTCGTCGTCTTTTGTCCATGATTCGTAGCGGTTTTGTGAGCGCTGAGGTCCCACGGCAGACGGCGTGGACGGTGCGGTCGAGGTGCCGCGGTGCCGGCTCCTGGACCTGGCCTTGTTGGGGACGATTTCGCCGGCAGGCCTGCTGGTGCTGCGTGTTTGGCGCTCCCGTTCGTACTCTGCTTCGCGTTGGCGCGCCCGTTCCAGCTCCTCCTCGAGTTTCTGGCTGCGGTTGTTGTGGCGATCTGCCTCGGCCTGCTCGGCCTGGTACTGGCTCAGGAACTGACCCTGCAGTCTGGTGTCGCCGCGGCCTCGGGCTCGTTTCCGTTCTTCCTCCAGTTTCGCTTCGGCCTCTTGCTCCTCCTTGCGGCGCATCTCCTCTGTCAGCCTCCACTGCCGCTCCTGTTCCTCCCATCTGCGCTTCTCCTCTGCAGCCTTGCGGCGCTCCTCTTCGCGAAGCCTCTGCGTCTCTGCCTCCCACCTGCGTTCCTCTTCTCGTCGGGCCTCCTCCTCTTCGGTTTCCTGCTGCGCCCGTCTCTGGCGCTCCTCCTCTTCCTGTCTCTCGGCCTCCTCCCTTCGCTTGCGCTCCTTGTCGGCCAGGCTGGGCACGTGAGGGCCGGCACTCGTGATCTGACGCATGCCGCCAAACGAAATGCCCAGATTGCCCTGACTAGCACCGCCCATGTACCCGTACTGAGCGATATTCCACGCTGGCGCCGTGGAGCCCTCGTGTTCCCGCTTACTCCAGCTGCTAACAGGGCCGGGAGACGCGGGGTTTGTCATGGTCGGGCTCTTGGTCGGGCTGCGCCTGCCCGTGGGAGTCGTGTCGCCGCCGGCGGTCCGACGGGGGAGCACTGGCTTGGAGCCGTAAGCCGAGGACGAGTTGCTGGTGATGGAGGTGCCGCGGCCGCGGAGTCCCGTCGGTGACGCATATCCGGAGATCTGGGGGCTGATGACGCCGGCTGCCCTGGCTCTGGAACCTATCGGGTCCGGAAAACGGCCCGGGTGGGCGTCGTGCGCGGCTCTGCTGAAGGCGCCGAGACACTGAAGCACCTGCGCAGGGTCCTTTTGCTCGTACAGGTCGACGGTGAGAAAGGTGTCGTGCTGCTGCAGGTTGAGCGGCGGCGACTGGCAGGCGCGCAGGAAGTGGGATATGTTTTCCATCTGGACGAAGGGCATGGGAGACTTCTTGAACTTGGTACCAGGCGGGGGAGTTGCAAGGTTGACGAGCCTGAAGAGAATAACATGTCAGCAGCCGAAACTCTAGAGCACTCTGACCAGAAGGTCACGGGGTATGCTCCTACTTGCAGAGGGCAACGCCATCCTTCAAGCCCTCTAACAAGTCTTGGGACGGCAACTTCTCGCCAAGGGCCTCCTCTATCCATGAACGGGCCTCGTTGGCGGCCTCGGGAGTGTATTTATCAAGGCGCAACTTGCGCAGGTCCTTGTCCAGCGACGTGACCGACGCCATGGTGTTTTGGCGTGCGCGAAAAGAATTCGCGGCGCAGTGGTTCGTCTGGGGCGGGAGAGCGGACGTGGGAGAGTCGTGGAATGGCTCAAAACCTTGCTGAGGAAAGGGAGTCAGCTCATGTAATTTGAAAATCGAGGGTTGCGTCGAGTCTTTGACGATGGAGAAAGTTGGGGGAGGGAGGGCGTCAATGGTTACTTGGGCAAGTACATACATGTACATACTTTACATGCGCTTATGTACGCTTACGCTTACATGTACTGCGCAATGTCTGGTGTCGTCACCGAGGGGCCCGCAACCAAGGGATGCCAGGGGGGGCCACTGCGGCGCCTGTCAGTCCCGGTTGGAATGCTATTAGGTTACAGGGCCAATGAAGGGGGTACTTTGCTGCATAACAGACATTGAATGGCACCAGGGCATTCTGCGTATTCCCAGCCGGGCTCTGTCACAAGTTGTATGCCCAGCAACGAGCCAAACGTCGGAAGCAAAAACACCATCCGGATACAGTTAGTCTCACAATGACGCATAACCGCCGCTAATACGCTAATCCTGCTCCAGCTCCAGCTCCTACTCCTGCTCCTGCTCCTGCTCCGTCCTTGTCCGGGCCGCCGTGTGGCTGCACCTCCCATGTGGCGCAGCCTCAACCCCAAATTCCGACGTCAGCCAAAACCTCCCACCAACCCCAAGCCTGACCATGTAAGTTGAGGGCCTCGCGTATCCCACGCCATCCTTACACCATGTCGCCCAAGCAGATAGGCCCCATTGCCCAAGCATGGTATAAATGGAAAGCTCTGCGCCTGCCCTGGCGAAAGCGCTTCTTCATCGGTGAGTTAGCCCCATGCTGCGAGCCAAAAAAAAAAAAAAAAAAAACACCAAGCACAAGAGAAAGCCCACCCGTCTTGATCCTCCCCAGCTAAAAACATGGCCAACCACAACCGCAGGCTACGACCTACAGGGCAACACATACTGGGAATTCCGCCTCGCGAAACCATCGCCCGGCACCTCGCCGTCCGACTCCCGCTGGCGCCGCATCGTGCACTACCCCCGATCCACGCACTACTCGCAGGTCAAGGTGTCGCCCCTCTGGCACCAGTGGCTGCGGCACACGCGGCGCGATCCGCCGTCCCTGGAGGAACAGGCCGGCGACCTCGTGAGGCAGGAGAGGATGAAGCATCTGGCCGCCGAGGCCGACGCCAGGTGGGAGGCCAAGCCGCGCGTCATGGACGACGTCAGACCTGGCGCTGCTGCTGCTGCTGCTGTGCCGCAGGAACAAATACCACGGCCGGCCGAGACCCAGAGGGCCAAGGGAGAAGAAACGCCGGGGGAGCAGGAACAAAGCCCAGAACAAGACGCGGCGCGACAAAGGCGTGTGGAAGGCAAAGAGGATCCTTGGGCGAAAGCGAGGCCGCAAGGCCCAGGTGAAACTTGGCAACCGACGGCCTGGAATCCAGCCGCCGCCGCCGTCGCGAAGAAGAGATGAGGAGATTGACCATGAGAATCACGACATGTATTTTGATATCCTGGCTGATACTGGAGCCTGTGTATGAGTATGAATAGTGTACAGTCTGTATAACAAACGGGGTAGAGTGATGAATATGCATTGTACATACATCTGCATGCATCGTAAGTAACCCACGAGGGCAGCCTGATAAGAAACATGTGTAAAAAGGAACAAAAAACTCCAGACATGCCGTCATCGACAATACCAATGTCCCAACTTCCCAGCACTCGCTCTATGTGCGTTTTCAATTCCCTGTTCCTTCCAAAACGCCGGATATTATCCCATTCTTACAAAGTCATGAGCCTCGTGAATGCCCGAAATGCAAATTGCCCCCCCCCCCCCACATTGTTTGATAAGACATGCCATCGAAACCGCCACGCACAGATGGATATCCCCTGCCCTCACGTGCAACCACGTCTTCAATCAGACAAGTCAAGAGCTGTCTCCTTCAGCACCTGAACCAGCATTCGAATCCTCTCCCCCGACCGGGTCAGCACATCCTTGGCAGAAACATCGCTCGATTCAGCGTGGGCCTTCCCCGTACGTTTCTTCTTGGCCTTGGCTTCTCTCGCCCGTATCCCTCTCCCGCATGCGTCCCCGAAACTGTCCGTGTATTCAATCATATCGGATATCCAGAGTAGTTGGATCGCATTTTCAACCAGCAGCGAAAGTTTGGCGTTGTCTTCTAGGCTCACGGTGTTTGCTGCCATGGGCACGTAGCAGTATTCTAGCATGGGCAGGGTAAGTATGCCATTTGCGTCGCCTTCGGGGTCAACTTTTGCCGTACTCTTGCCACTCTGTGGCAGGAGCAGGCGAAATAGCTCCTGTATGAGAGGGACGTGGATTTCAGGCGGAAGCGGGTTCTCTCTTTGTGCGACATAGAGCGAGTAGAGTGGAAGGGGGAGCTTCTTTATCGCGAGCACATAGTCCTCATATAGATTGCCGAGCTCGCGCTGTTTGCGGAGAGCAGCCGTAGCAGCGGACAGCATCTTGAAGAACCTCAGGCGAATGCTGATCGACTCGACCAAACCGGGACTCAGAACCCCCATTGTGTCGCTATTCCTTCCATCTCGGGGCTTCTGCGGGGTGGGTGGTTCCGAGACGCCCGACGAAATGGAGTCGTCGTCGAAATAGTCTCCAAACTTGCCATTCTCCAGGTCAAGAACTTGTTCCCTCTTCCTCTTCCTGGTCGCCTTCTTTGGGCCACGCGGTTCCTTCTCAAACACCTCGGGGAAGCTAGACGACGACAACTTCCCGCCGTCGGCAAAAAGAGCCTTGATGATGCGCTTCAAGGCCACGTGCCCGTCCATGCTCTGCTCCATGTACATTGCCATCATCGACTCACTCCGTGCAGTAAGAGGGGCAGCGCCCTCTCCTCCATTCGCTTCGTGGTTCGCCTCGTCCTGTCGCTGTCTCTCGGCCCAGTCTGTTTCGAGAACATCCAGCATGAATTCGAGCCAAACTCGCCAGTAACGCCACCTTTGCGGATACAGTATACTCGTGTTAAAAGCCCAGCCGACCGTGGCCCAGAGATCTTGGCCCCGAGACCACAAACTGCCTTCATTCGCCATGCGCCCCTGTAGGCGGTCGTGATCGCGATCCGAGTCTCCATCAGACATGTCGCTGTCGGCGTTGGGACTAGTGAAGCCTGATCGGCGCGTCCATCGTGGTGATGCGTGGAACTGGAAGGCGGAGCGAAACCCCGCGTTGACAGGGCCAACGACCGTCAGCAGGTTGCGAAGGTAGTCGAGTGCCAGGGCAGCCACGTCTCGGTATTCTGACTTCTCGGCGCGTGTTGTATGAATAGGGTGGATTATGAGGGTGTTGAGCAATGCCAGATGGCTCGGTGGCGGTACAGGGACTGTTTTGGGAGAAGATGATCTTCTAGATGTGCCTGAGCCGAGCGTGCTATTCAGCAGATTAATCGCACAAGTATCTACTCATATCAGCATGTATCCCGGCGGGAAGGGAGGAGTGAACGAGGAGGCAGCGCCAGGCTAGGTCTTTACGTACAAAGCTGCTCTTCTAAAAATATATGGCAATGACCCTTCAACTCCCGCGGGAGCTGGCGAGCATCACGATATGGACAGGGCAGGGTCTGTGTGGGGCTGCTCGCAGTGGTAGATTCTTCAATCTCTGAATCGTTCGCCGTGTAGAACGACAATGGAGACGAGCTTGCGCTTTCAAGCGACCTCGTCGCCATCGTAGCCTCGTTGTTGAGCACGCCAAGGCGGCTGAAGGGTGTTTGGCGGACGAAGTCTGGTGGTGGTGTGGTCGCGGCGATAATAAATTTACTCGACGCGCTGGATGCGTACCTAGGAGGCGCGACATGGAAGGATTCAAGTGGGGAGGGCTGACTGGGCTTGACGACTTAGCAGAAGTGAACGGGACTCAGACAGTGGGAGCCCACACCGTGTGCTGTCACTTGTCACTACCCGTGCCCGTCTGTATCCGCTTGCCGTCGCGTGCCGCTTTCCGCCCCCCCCTCTAACATTCATCCATTGTTATACCGCACAAGCACAACGGCCTACCTCCTCCCAGTACGGTTGTACGTTCATAAAGTCAGAACCTAGGTGCTCCGTAGTGGCACCATTAGACATACTCCGTACAGCTCGCTTGACTCTGCATTAGCAACATTGAAGCCTTGTTAATCACGCTTTGAGCCTTTTTGTCAAGAGTTGCACCTACTCCATGCAGGCATGCATACATGCATTCATTTTATGCGTGCACACGCCAGTCACCATTACATCTCCCGCGCGGGGCCCTTTTCCCCTATATTTTCCTTCCATCTTCACCCAGATCCTGAATCTCTAAGCAAGCCTGATGCAACACTTACGCCTGGCCAATACCCCATCATGGTCTCATGAACAGAATGCTGTTATACAAATTTACTCGTCAACGCTATGCTTGATACCTGCCAGGTAGCCATGCGTTAAAGCATGAACATGTACTTTCTCCGGTATATGCTCTCACCTGTCGTCAGGACCGAATGCTGAATCTCCGCGGCGCCTGCCCTAGTCACAATCAGAACCAAATATGAACAGACAAGTCATCAACCTAGGCACCGCCAATCAGCCTTATCACGGTCTTTGTCCAAGGGCTGAAGCCAATAACTCCGGTCTATGCTCATGGTGCAACAATGCACACAATCCAGTAGGGTATAACCTTGCACGCTGCTCTACCTGTATCAAAAAGAAAAAAATAATGAACAAAAGAAGAAAAGGCGGCAGCTACTTCACTTCAGTCGTCGGCGCTGTTTTGGTATCTTGGTTCCCCTTTTCTCTGCCTCCCTCTTCGCACTCGGTTATCCCTTCGTCTTCCTGCGCCGGTTGCTGCTTGGCCAGTATTTTCTCAAGAATATGAGATGCCTCTGCAGAGTACTTGCACTTGAGGCGAATCTTCTCGCCATACTTGTAAAACAAGAAGGGGAACGGCATGCAGGCGAGAGCCAAAAATGCCGGGATCGAACTAGCCCAGTGAACACCTAGATGCTCGTACATCTTTCCTGTGAACAGCGGGAAAATACACCCAAACAGTGATCGAAGCACAGCACTGGCGGCCAGAACGGAGGCTGCGTATATGACATCTGGTGGTTTATGCGTTAGCACGTGCATTCCTTTCTACCGATCCCCTTTCCAAGCCCAAGAGACTTACATGAATCAATCAGATAATTGAGAAGTGACAAGAAAACAAGAACCAGGCCGGCAGCGAAAATCGATGACCCGATAATGGGTACAACCCAGTGAACATTGGTACCGTTGGTCCATGAAAACCAGAAAAGACCAACCGGGAGAAGGACACTCCCGGCTACAGCTGGGGGAAGTCGCGCTTCCGGAGGTGCGACGCCGCCATGTTTTGCAGCCGTGCGCGCATATCGTCCATTGTCCAATATCGAGCCGGTGGCCGAAGCAATCATGCCAATTGCAATACCCACAAAGGAAAGCCCTCCAACGCCAGGTTTCCAACCCCAGCCTTGGGGATAAGGAGATTGGAAGACAATCGGGAAGGCGGCGAAGCAAAGGTACAGCGTACCGTAAATGATGGCCATGTAAATACTGGTGAGGAATACAATAGGCTCCTTGAACAAGAGGACCCAAGGTCTAGAGAGGTTGACCTTGATTTGGCCAAACAGAGTTTTGCGAGGCATCGCCGCATCGACCTTGGATATATACACTTTGCCAGTCCGTTTTGATAACTCCTCGGCTCGCTTACGCAACAATACTGGGGAGTAAGTCTCAGGGGCAACGAGTGACTGGATAATCCAGAGTGTGCCTGTAAAAATAGCTGTGAGGCCCTCCACCCATCTCCAGCCTTCGGCTTCGGCCAGAAATCCGCCAGCAATGGGGCCTATGAATACATTAGTCCTTTTTCCATGGCATGACTGTGTTTCTTTCGGTGACGTTGATGTCCCCGCCGCAATAAAATGTTCTGCACCAGCAGTGGCAAGCAGTGGAAAGGCCAGCAACAACAACATACCTAAGGCCGGACCGAGAAAGGGAGCAATTGCAAAGATACTGGTGGCGATTCCTCGTTCTTTGGCTGTGAACAGGTCTGCAATGATGCCGCCAGAGTTGGTCAGCGGCGAAGATCCCCATGCGCCAGCCATGAAGCGCAACACAATGAGGGCTATCATGTTTGGTGCGCCAGCGGCAGCCGCATTGAAAGCTGTAAGGGCCATGTACGTCAGGAAAAAGAGCTTCTGTCGGCCATAAAGCTCAGAAAACGGAGCCCAGAACAGAGGCCCAATGGCAAACCCGAGGACGAACATGGACACTCCTAGAATGGTGACCTCTGTCGAGGCGTGAAATTCTTCATTGATGGAGCGAACGCTGCCCGAGTATGCGGAGCTGGTAAACGAAACCGCCAGAGTCGATATCGCTGCAACGATCATGACTGTCCACTTGAAGGGGCTAGAGAATGTCATTGGATTTCTCGGGTCGACGGGCAAGAAATCAACGAGATACGGCGACTCATGTGTACCCTGGCCAGGATACTTGTGGTTGAGAACGGCGTCATCAACACCAGCTTGGTCGACCAAAACACTCCAATGAGAATGTTTTCGTGACCTTTGTGCCTGCTGCGCTTCTACATCCCGGTCAGCGGCCGTTGCTGACGACGAGGATGATGAATCTGCCGCCATAGCTTGTGGCTATGTTGGCGAGGCTACGCGTTAACCCAGGCGTTTGTGTATCTCAGGATTCCGTGATCGCGGTGGATTTTTGTGCAAGGCCAAGACCCGTAAGGAATAAGGGATGGGCCCCCTTGGGCGTCGGTTGAGAATGAATCACAGTGAGCACACCACGCCCAAGTCGTCGTCGTACCCGCCCAGGTTGGTGATGGTCAGCCAAGACCCCTTCGTGATGTCTCGCCGAGAGTCTCGAGATTTGGTCGGCAGACGGTATTATGCAGATGGCGACCAGGATGGCAAGTCTTCACAGTCGTAAATTGGACAGCACCAAAGAAAAAAGGGCTGAAGAGAGAGGGAAGGGGGGGGGGGCTTGTCGTTGGATGGGCGAGGGGAAGCGGGTGTCGTCGGATGGTGCTACAACAATTGCTTTGTTGGTTGCAACCCGAACTCCAGGCATGAACTCGGTAGCAGCCAAGTGATTCAACCGAATCGGCCGAGATTGGTTTCACGACCTAAGGCAGAGCGGGTTGGGCAGATGGAAAGGTGGGATAGAATATCACCCTGTCTTCTCGGGGCCTTGCCTAGCGGGAAACAGGGCCTTGTTGACTGTTGTGTAAGAATGAGGTAGTATTCTGGCGTTCAGAATCCGGGACAGTTCCACTATCTCAGCAAGTAGTAACTGCAGTGGGTTCAAAGACGGACATGTTGGTTGGAAATGACGGTGCCGTGGCCCGAGGGCGATGTTGGGTTGTGGTGGTGGTAGTTGTGCTGTGGCAGTCGAGTGGTGATGATGCCACAATGTCGCCAGGATGGTCCGCCAAGCACCTATCTGGGCACGAAGCAAAGAGCAAGCGTGTTTGCGAGCCGAGCCAGACACCAAGTCGTCGAGGGCATCGGAGAGAAGAAAGTCAGAGAGTCAGAAGTTGGGCAATGGAGCCATGCAAGACTTGAGCACTGCCAGCGTCGTACCATGTCGACAGGCAGTTGCAATGGGACGGACATTGGAGTGCCGAAGCAGTACACGTACTCCGTATTACTCCGTACTTTACATGCCAGGCTGGCCCAGGCATTTCTGCACTGCATGTCAAGTACTCCGTACTCCATACACAACACATCGAGACATCAAAATCCCAAATGGCCAATTGTGGAGAGGCTTGGGGGCTTGTCCGATTCGGTCCACTGGGCCCAGCCAGGTCAGAATGGCGGTGCGTTCAATTGGCTCCGCTCCCTCGCGTCTGCTGAAGGGGGCAAGTCCTGGGAGCACTGGGCAAGGGAAGGGAACTGGGCAAGAACGGCCACGGCCCCTCAAATCTGGTTCATCTCACAACGCAAAGCAGCCAATTGCTCTCAACACTGGCGCGCAGACATGGCTTTTCCAAGAGCCCGTGCTGCCTGAACCCTGGCAGGGATGGTTGTACATACATCCATTGTACGACGCTGCGAAAACCCCCGACTGGGCGACGGAAGGACATCCGCAGCAACGGCGCCAATTTCGGCCTTTGCTTGCTCTCCAAGGCGCGCGAGCGGCCGCATTCCTGCCACCCGCATCTGCGGCCGCAAGCCAACCGCCGACATGCCCGCCCTGGACCCAGCAGCCCAGCAGGGGTCTGGTCCGCACGCCGCCCGCTCAACTCAATCTTGTCGCTGGTTGTTTAGGCGAACGCCAGCGACAGCCTGGCCAGTGGCCAACATCCGGCCGAGAAGCGGCTTACATACCTACCTAGGTACCTAGGTAGGTACTCAAGTACTCCCTACGGAGTACTTCGTAGTGCAGCAGTAAACGCCGTCGTTGGTCGACCATCTCACCTGTCTTGTCTTGTCTTGTCTCGTCGGCTCCGATTATTTTTGCAATACTACTATACAATTAATTTGTTACCCCCTCAAATCCGGGATGCCATCTACAGATATGCTTCTCCCTTATAATGTATGACGCAGTATTCCGGTTCTCTGGTTTGGGACAATACGACCAGGCGGCCCTACCCGATGCAGTGCTTGCACGAGCATCTGCATAGGTCGAATAAAATAAAAAACCTAAAGAAAAGCCATCTATTTGAGCTACTTGGGTATCTGCATCAAACATACATGCGCGGTTTCCATGTCTAATCTCCGAGGCCCTCCCATCCACTCTCTTCCGCGTCGCTGTCATCACTTGCACTTGTACTTCCATCATCATCATCGTGACTTTCGTTGCTGTTGGTCATGCTGACATTGTCGCCGGCCTTGTCATCTCGGCCGACAAGAGAAACTGCAGTACCCGTGGACTTTAACACGGGCATCCCAAGCATATCTCGCACTATGGCACCGCGTTCATCTCGCATGTACGGGCCATCGCCGTCTCCGTCTTCGCTGGCGTTGGCGTGGTCGCGAACAAATCCCGCCACAAAGAAGCCCATGATCCCGTGGCCATCGTCCTTATAGCATCGGATACACCCCTGGGCCACTTCCTCATCTCCATTACACGCTTCGGTGCTGCCCCTTACTGGCCAATCCTTCATCCCTGTGACTTGGTCCTTTCTCCTCAAGATGCGCCATCCTCGCTCTTTTGCAACATCCGAGTTCAATGCTGCCATGACGACGTGTTCGTTCTCTTGAGAGTGAATCGAGCACGTAGAATAAGTCACTTTCCTGGCAGACGGGAACCGGAATGCGTGTAGCAAAATAGTCAGTTGAAACCCAGCCAATGCGTTTAATCGTGCAGCCAGATCCTTTTCCGATTCAACGACAATCTCGTTTCCATCATCGTCGCGGATGACCGTTTGGTCAGAGTTCCGAATTTCCTCATATTTCCTTTTCCGCTTATTGGTCGACTCCGACTTGGACTCGCGCTGCGGATTCTGTTGCGGAGGGTCAGGTAGATGAAGTTCTGGCATTGAATCTCTGCCAACAATCCCACTTCCAGAACAACTTGGATCCAGGAGCAAGGCACCGACGTTCCTAAATCTCTCCGACTCTGGGTCGACCTGCAAGAAATCTTGTCCGAGTGCAATGCGCGTCATTTTATTTGATCCCGCAATTTTGACCATCTTTTCCAACGTTTTTGCTCTTCTAGAGTCCTTTTCAAACGCAAAAATGGTTTGTGGCTCTGACTCAAATTCGGGTTCATGGCTGCGAATGATGCCCGCGAGGTGCGTGGTCTTGTTGCCTGGCGCAGCGCAAGCATCTATCACATCACCATCTTCGGACCTAGGGTCTAGGAGGTAAGCTGGAAAGCATGACGCCTTGTCTTGTAGAATGATTTTGCCAGAGTTGTACGCCTCCGTCTTGCTCAAGTCGCAACCAGGGGTGATGGCCACTAGATTAGGGACATGAGGGTCGATGAGTATATGCTTCCCTTCCTTCGCAACCACATCTTGTATAGTGCCAGCCCTTGCATAGCCTCTAAAAGTAGTCTCCAGTTGCTCTTCAAGAGTACTCTTGATGGCGTTAATGCGCACCCAGCGGGGATGGGCTGCCTCTTCACCGGCCGCAGCTTTGTCAACCTCAGCCTTCAATAGCTCTAGCGATGACGCCTTGCGTCGCAACCTGGCCCGAGTAAATTCAGAGTTGAGACGGCCCTTGTGCCTCTCAACGCTAGACCTAAGGCCATGGCTCTGTGGCAGCGTAATACCACCCTTGGCAAGCAACAAGTCGTGGACCAAGAGCAAAGCCAGAGTCGGCGTGAGCTGTACCTACAGGTTAGCCGGTCTTTCCTGCTCAATGATACAAAACAAAACCCAACGAGGCATACTCACCTTGCGCTCTATTTTGAGTATATCAGCTCCTTCTATGACTTCCTTCAGGATGGCGCTCCATTTACAGGACTCAAACACCAGGGCGTAGAGTTGCTTCGGCGTGGATTTAATGCCCTTCCTTTGATAGACACGGGATTTTAAGCTCCCTCCCTCCTGCGAGGATGTTGACAAGATATCAGAAGCCTCATGATACAGAGACATTTTTGAAACGCCACTGATGACAAAAACTTAATTGTAAGCTGAAAGGCCATGCATGGTTTTGCGGACGGCATCAAGTTTTCGCAGAGATGGCAAGTGCGTCTGTCCTGGACTCCTGGGGCCGTGAAGGAGGGAAGATTTTATTAGCCGAAGTTCTCCCGACTTACACGATTACCCCCAACACTTCATAACTACTAGGTACATGCTTAACATATCAGAGTGTGGATGAGAAATGTGTAGCCATTAAGTGGTTTTCAGTGCTCATAGTCTAGGAATCAGTTCATTTCTGCCATTATATATGCCCTGATTCGAGCGAGGTCTAGGTCAGATGTGTTGAGAGAGCAGTCGCAAAAGCGTTGCGGTCAATCACTTGAACAGAGGGCGAATTTAATGCCCAAAAAAAGTGCGCCAGAGTGCGCCTAAAATTTTTCTACTAGTCTGTCCCTAAATGACAAAATATACCATGGTGTATGCCAAATCTGGAGAAAATGCCTCCGATGGCCAACCCTCCAACTCTGCCGTCAGCCAAGAAAAAGGCCGACGCAGGCTTATTGAAAGAAGAATAGAATCCAAACAAGTTCCCAAAATACAGTGACGGGAATCGAAGCATCCAAAAAAAATAACAAAGTCCGGGCAACTGTCCAAAGTTCCAAAACAATATGTCCATGAAATATCCCCACAAGTACCACCACCACTGATCCTGCAAACGCCCGAGGCAGTGGCCAGAATCAAAGTAGCTGGCAATCACACACTCAAAAGAGAAGACCTAATAGTGCGGGCTTCGGTGTCGTTGAAGGTGCTCGTGAGCATGCCTCCGGCTTTTGACATCCTTCAAGCTGGCCTCGCCATCCTTGCTGAAGACGGTGAGTGCCCAACCTCCTCCACATGTATCTGATTTATCGTCTTCACAAGCGATATTGCACGCTGAATCATCAAGCTTCTCAGATCTAACAAGTTCATTGCCACAATAGCACTGGCCCCCGTATTCAGTACCAGCAAGATTATAGCCCTTGGCCTTGCAGTGAGCCACACACTTGGCGTTGCTAATGGCGCCCAAGTTGGGACGGACATCGTCTTTGAGAACACGATCTCTAGAGTCCTTGAAGCAACCGGCATATTTGAAATCTCCGGCAGTGCGAGTTGAATTTGAAACGGGGCGATCGGTGGCTCCTGGCAATTGTGCCGTTACAGTAATCGTCTCGTAGACAGTATGAATCTTTGGGGTGCACGCAGATGGTTGAGACGGCAGCGTAGGCTTAGAACTGCCCGCCTCTGAGGTAGGCTGCGTCTTGGTGGTTGCGTTATCAGGATTCTTGGTCGAGGTTGGCTTGTTGTCTGATGTGGGCGCGGCGCTGGAGACCTTGCTGGTATTGTCTCCTCCAGTAGGCTTAGAGTTGGTTGGCTGAGTAGGTTGAGAGTTGGTTGGCTGAGCAGGCTGAGAGTTGGTTGGCTGAGCAGGCTGGGAGTTGGTTGGCTTGGCAGTGCTGGTATTGTCGCCTCCAGCTTTGTTAGTGCTCGATGGCTTAGCAGTGTTATCTCCTCCAGTAGACTGAGACTGCGAGGGTTTGGGCTCATTACCACCTCCTTCGGTTCCATTTCCACCATAGGACCAACCAGTAATGGGATTATCTCCGGGGAGAGCATCCAGAACACCGTCAACGGTTTCATCAACTTGCGATTTGATAGTGCAGTCATCCTTGTTCAGGCCATTGAGACCGGGGCACTTGTCCATGCCCTGGCTGCCCGCATTACAAGTGTCAATAATGTGTTGAAGGAGCTTTTCATCCCAGGCAGCCATGAAGTCTGCATGGTTGCTGTAGCCCGTAGCATCTCCGTTAGAAAGAACAAAAGGCTGCTGACCCTTTCCTTGTTCCCAGCGGTCTTTGAAAAGCGGAGTGTTCCAGTAAACTTCTAAGAAGAGGTGAGGAACGTGAATCCATCCCTTGGGGCAGTCTTGTTTCCCCTTTCCATCATCAGTGGGGAAGGCCATGTTTTCTTTGTAATTGGTCAAGCCCGCAGCAGGGTTGTAGCAAGAGGGGAAGTGAACATCTGCTCTCAAAGGTGACGCATACCCATCACAGTTCACGTCAGGAAAACCAACACCCTCTCCCTTATTGTTGGGGTCCTGGATACCCGCCGCGAGACCGTTGGAGCCCGCAGGCCATGAAGGAGAGTCAAAGTTGGAACGAGGACAGGTCCATTTGATGGGGTTAACGGTGCCTTTGGATGGATCGAGGTTAGAAGTTGCTCCGTCTTTGGGCGGTGTTCGAATCGTCTGATCTCCGCTCATAATCGACAGTCCAACTGGGAACGCCTTTATATCATCATTGGTCGGCTCGAAGCTAGAATCAGTAGACAGTTAATTGGTGTCGCCTACGGTGGGATGGAGGAAGCACAAATGCATACAAGTAATAAGCGTTGGCGTAAAACAGTTCGACATCTTCAAGCTTGCCAGTCTTTGGATCTTTGAAATAAAGAGACGGGACCCAGTAGTTACTGTTGTCACCCTTGATCATGGCAGTAGTGCATTTGGAGTCCATAAGATCTTTGCCGGTCGAACCGAGGCCGAAGTTGCTGCCACCGAAAATGGAGTGGACATGAGTAGAGACTTGCCCTGGGCTGACAATAGGGTCCATTCGACCTTTGGTGAGCTGCTTGTTCGTAAAGCGAAGAACAGCGAAGGTTCGTTCGTTCTTGGCCGAAAACCCGGTACCGACAAGAGCCGCTACTGCGGCTATTGCGTAAAGCTTCATGATGATGTTGTCGGTGTAGTCGTGACAGATAATATATTGAAAGGGACACAAATTCAAAAAGGCAAGTCTAGTTGTCTGGGATTGCAGCGTCAAGGGATGTGTGCGAGCGTTGTTTGCTTTACGGTGTTGCCAGAGCACCAGAAAGAGCGTGAACTGAGATATCAAGTGCGCGAGTGACCTGAACTCGCAGCGTAGAAAGGAATGAAACAAACAGAACTAAGCTGTTTGGGCTGTGAATAAGGAGAGGACGTGCTCGGCAGCTCGTACAAAGACTGAAGCAAACGATGAAGAGAGAGCAAAAACCAGGAGGGTAATCTATGTATAGATAAAGAGAAAGAGGGCTGAATCGAGATGTGGCAGAGTCCACCAAGTTTCGGTGTCAAGTGAGAAATGGCAGGTAGAACGGCAGTGGATGCCCCTGGAAAGAAGGACTTTATGCCAACAACTCTCACAGCCAACACCAGAAAAGCGTCCATCTGCAAGGCGTCGGCGGTGAACACAATGGAATGAACCCTGGGCGTCCATTGTCTGCCCCGTGTGGGTGGAGTTTCGGTGCTGCCAATAAACTGATCATCTTGGTCAGGACCGCGCCTCTTTTGGATCCAGGGTTTCTCGTCAAGACCCTCGACCTTCAAGGGCCAAGCAGTCTTCGTTCTCGTTTTTTTTGACGCCAACACCTGCGTCGACAGGGTGCTCTTAGTCTGCATGACCATGTCCGTACCTGCATGCGCTTGGGACAAGCCGTACTCCGTACAGAACCGTGACCGCCAACGATTGGATAACTGAGGGGCTGGCTGTGACCATCCGACTTGGCCACCTGGCGCCGGGGCCAGGTTTGGTGACGTTGTGCAATGATAACGTGAGTGTTGACGATGAAGATGCGTCAAGCAGGCAATGCGCTTCTCCATATTACGGAATACTACTCCGTACTCTGTAGCATGGATATCATCACTGTGCCATCCCATGCCTTGGTAGTGATTCCCATGTCAACAGCCTGCTGGACGCAGGTCGAGTCAAATCGCAGATTCGCCCACCCACGCATGATAAACAAAGCATAAGTGATTTAATTAACCCCGCACAGAGACGGTGCGATGAACAGTAGGTAGCGAACGGATTTGCCCAGGGAGGCTGCCAGCAGAGCAAACAAACAATGCAGTGGGGGGGCCGTTGTAACTTGTGACCGGCCTGGACTCTGAACGGAGCCCTGGTTAACTTTTCAAGGTCAGTTTAGCTTTTTTTAAACATCCGATGATAGAGGCGCCCAAAGGACTGGTTACGTACACGTCAACGGTACGAGTTATTATCCACTCAACCGAGTATGTATTAGGTAGGTGGGATACTCCGTACGCGCGTGGTCGGTACAGTAGTCGGTACGCCGAATTTGACGGGGATGCAGGTGGCGTTTTTTATTTCAATGATTATGTACTCCGTATTCCGTATGCCGCGAGATAAACGCCCGAAAAAAAAACGTCCGAAATGAGACGAACGCCGAATCCATGTGGAAATCGTCAGGCAAACATTCAAGAACCAAACTGTTCTCGCCGGGGCTCCCAGGAGGTGGCGAAAGATCCCTCAGCCCCTCTCTCTCCTTGCCTGGCAGATTCATCCAAGCAGAGTTTGGGTAACCGCTGACCACGATATTGGCTCCTGCCAAGATTAGGTCCGCCGCCTAAGCATGCTGAAACACGCTAGCGCAGGAGAGGGTCAACGCCACCCGATTGGCCGTCTTGATGGGGACATGAGATTCGACAGCCAGCCAACGTGGGAGCTGAGCCAAGCGCCACAACGGCAGCGGCGTTCACGGTGTCGATGGACTTGAACGTCGCCCTTGGTGAGTGTTGCGCTGGTCTCGAAGATTCGGACAGCTCGACTTTGTTTTTCTTCTAATAACTACCTGTTGGTTTTATGCTACATGTCACACGACCTGAGCACGGGACTTCAATCTCGGGTTTCGGTGCCGCGGTTGTGTACTCCGTATACTCAACTGGGATGCGGCATGCTGGTTGCACGATGCCCTCACCCTTGGGCTCGATGCCGACCCAACGTCAGGGGAAACAGAAATATGCCCATGGATAAGATGACTTGCATCAAGGAAGCAACCATACTGGGTGTCCTACTTCGCGTCTCACCCATCTTACACTCGGTCATCGGCAAAGGACAGCTGCAGTATTGTTTCGCATGGGATCGCGTTTCTTGTTGCGCCTCAGCGCCTCCAGCGGCCGTCTGACTCTCAACCAACCATGCGAGCAGTTCGGGCGGCTCGAGTGTCGACTACTAATTAATCATGGCTGCCCTGGGTTGTAACTGCACAGCATGGGTCAACCAGCAGACATACAATAATCCCGCATCATGTTCCATGTTTGTGACGCTGCTCCTGCTGATTTTTCCTGTCGGGCGCTCCAACAAACACCAGACTCTGGATGAGTGTGTCGTGAAAGATTGTAATCATCCTTCCCTCCTTCCCCATGAAAGGAGGCCGTGGAGCATTGTCGCTCCCCTCTACATAATTTTATTTTTGTGTATGCGTGTACAATAGGTTTATTTTAGAAGGCGGTACGGAGTAATGCATGGTACTTAAGTACGTATGTAATGTTGCATCCTCGATGTTGATCTCCCAACCGTCTTCACTACAAAGAATCGAATCGGACTGTGCTCGTTTCAGCACCATGTTCCCATTGCTCCTTGATCTACAGGCAATAATAATTCATGTTTGTGGTTGGGTCAAAGAAAATCCCGTCAATCAAATGACCCTGACAAGGTGCTATTTGCGGAACAATGAGCTATTGTCTTCACATTTCACATCTCACCTCTCCAGGGTAGGACAGTCGTTGCCGTAATAAGACGTTTGCCCTCGGCATGGCTGCCCACGGAATCGATATTTGAAATAAGCGCGAATCTTGCGGAATAATGATAGGTCTTGACAAACTACGGGATGCCTGATTGGTCAAGGAAAAGACAGAGAAATCATGTGGTTCTGTATCACCTCATGACTGAAGTTCAAGGCATGCCGCCTTCATCGTGTCCCGACGAGCCCCCCTTTCGACCCGGACACCAGTTGTCGCAGAAGTGCGTTTGGCCAAGAGAAGAAGGAAAAAACAAGAGTAAGTGTCTTATGAGCTGACATCAGCTACTTCTCGCGTGGTAAACTTGGTCCCATAGTGGTACGATATAGAGTGGAACACCAGGCATAGCTCTCATGCGCATCATCAGCCTTTCCGTCTTTGGACGGAGGGCATCAACCCAATAAGTTTCGGCCCGAAGATGGCTAATGTCATGCTCACAATCAAAGCTGAAGCCTCGATGTGGCTGCTGAGAATACTAAGAAACAAGGCGTACAATACAGTTGAGTTCATCCATAAAGCATGAGCCAGGCAGGGTGCCTGCGGAAAACATTGAGCAACATAAACTAAACAACAGCCATTCAATCTCCTCCGCTAAAACAGGCCCAATTTGAACGACATATACATTTTCCTGGCCCATTCACACTCTTATCCCAAATATCGCTCGGCTCATTCCTACAACGTGTAGCCGCTGGTTGAAGAGTCCGAGGTGACAAACCCTTCCTCCTCTAGTGATTACACAAAGACGAGTCGTCTGAAGCGTCCAAAAAACAATCTACTTAAAATTCGGTAGAATTCCGGCCAAGATGTATCTAGCTGAGGACAATGATTCCCCTTGGTTTCGCGCCATATCCCAGCATCTCGGGGAGCTCTCGATTCAAACCTACCAACTCTCCTCGCATGTCGGCATTTGCGACATATTTCTTGACAGAGGGAATGAAACCTTGGGCAAAAATCAAGGTTCGCTGCTCAGGTATTTTCAGCTTCGACTCTGTTGATATTATGAGCAACTGATGCGGCTGTCATGCAGTAATGAATGCTGACACTAAACGTAATCTGGACGCAAACGAGAGCACAGTACAAGTCTGAGGAAGTAATCACAGCGCCGGTCCCGCCTCGGCACGAAGCCGCCATTGAGTGGTTTCTTGCAAAATACACATGGCGTCTCTACTGACTACTCCCATTACGAGTACTGGCCTAACTGCTGCCTACCTTCTGTGGCGAGGCGCTACTTTTCACTACCTGATAGCTGCGCCTTTCAAGCCAATAATATCCGCATGAAAAAAATTGTATAAACGCAGCTTGCTTCTTATTGATGACCCGAGATCAGTATGAAGATTTCGTTTCCAGCATAGCTTCATGGATGTTAAAGTGATGTGGACACGTAGTACTTGTGATTCGGATCGACTAGTTCCCGAGCAAATGGAGAAGAAAGAAAGCTATGACAAATATTGGAGGAAAGAGTCTCAAGCAAGCCATATGCGTTAATTAATTGGGTATAATGATGCTTCGCTAAGGAGTAATGGCCGCCACGAAAATCGTGGAATAGAGTATGACACACCATAGCCGCAGGCTGATGTTCCTCAAATCCAAACAAATTGCAATTCACGCCACCCCAAGTCTTCCTCCCCGTAAATCCAGTTGGCATCGTAATTCCTGTACAAAGGAGCTTTCATACGCTCTACCACCTTGTCCCCATTGGTAAGGGATGACGAATTCGACTGTGGCAAAACCAAAAAAGAAAAAAGGAACGGAGCATTTCTTACTATGCCCCTGATAGCTTTCCAAGCCCCGTCTTCATCTAATCCCGAACAGTACGCCGCTTCCGTTGTCCCTGAGAACCTTCTCCTGCTCCGTCTTCATCAGATAATTCATCTTGTCCTCTAGCGTTCTTGGTTCGATCGTTGCCCTTCTTGATGGAAATGATGCAACCTTGCTCTTTCAGCCGTTTGGCTAAGCCGCTACTCGGTAACATGCCTGGAAACTCCTTGGCACTGTATACATGGAACACATCACTCACGATTTCGGTGAGTATGGGGAAGTGTCGAATCACTCCGGCGCGGGCCGGGTCTATCATAATAAGCGTAAATTTTAGACGGAATGCCCCGGGAGTTCGACATGATAGATCTGAAAAACAGAAGAAGCAGCCCTCCTCACCAT